TAAGATTATCATTTCCTAAGTTTAAAACTTACATTAAAGTCATATTACAAAATTGAAGAGTATGTTTTAGATAAATAAGTATGGAAAATACAACAAGAGTCTAGATTCTACATAATTATTCATACACAATTCAAAGTGTATTCCATAGCATTTAAGTTTATTTGAAAAGAGCAATCCCTAGAGTTTCTTGCTCGTTCTTCTCATAGGTCAGCGTAGTGAACGAGCTGTAGCTTAAAAAAATGACGTTTTCAAGTAAAATTTTACCTATGGAATAAATGATTATTTGACTTTAACTTTGTAAACAAAAAAATACTTTGCTAGGCAAATATCTTATGAGTCAAGTAGAAGCGTCAGCCAAACTCTAACGTGAGAAAAACATTTGAATATTTTTATTTTAATGCAGTATTTATCATTACATGTACCTACTCACTAAAAAAGATTGTATGCTTGTAAAATTTTGATGAGATAAGAAAAAGTTGCGAAAATCTAGATTTTATTTATACATACAGGGTTATTTGCAAAATACGAACAACCTGACTTTTTACAAAATATAATAAATTTACCAGAAACAAATCTTGCCAACGCACAGAGCTATTACCGTTTAGAGCGATCTTTATAAATATTTTTATTTTTGGAAAATCCAAGTTATGGAACCTGTGATAGCCTTCAAAGACAAAAATAATATTTTTTTTATTTGCCAATGGAATGTCAGTCTTATAGTGACAAGTTAAGAATTAATTTCTTTAATTTGAAGATCTTTATAGATGAAGAAACATCGAACGCAAACATTAATAATATTGTCAGTCAAATTAGCCCATATTACAAAACCAACTACAAATTTATATCTTAGTGATGTGATGACTCATATACTGATAATTGACAATTAGTAACGTGCCTACTGATATCAGGGCCATAATTTGTTCGCTTTAACATTTATATCTTCATTTCTATGTAAGTCTCTTTTCTACGTAACCGATTTTTAAATGGGCCCCTTTACAGTAAGATAGTAGTAGTAAATATATAGGATGCTAATAAAGCTAATCGTTATACAGTTACAGTCTAAATATAGTCTTCATGCAATTTTTTTAACACTAGTTTGTAACGACATCAACTGATCATACTATATATATATATATATATATATGACTATGATAACTTTTGAACCCCGAAGTGATGGCATGATCGTGTTGATAGTAAGGCCCATCGCGGATGGCGGGGGAGAGCATCGAAAAGGATTTTATGCACGTCAGCGCACACTGATGGGATATTCCTTACGATACCGCGAGTGTCGGCCGGTGCACCGCAGAGACCTGGAATGCTGCGGTATCCGCCGACATTGCCTACCGTCACTCGGATTTAATTCCGTGCCACTAGCGACTACGCAGTTGAAAATTCCCCGGCGTATTCAGACAGACTTCGGCGCACTCCGGAGGATTCCTGAGCATACCAGTGAATCCCGACGCATGCCGGTGGTCGCAAGAGGTCTGCCGCCGCAGTATCCTCTAGCGTGCCCTTCAATGTAATCTCAAAGCATTGAAATGTATTCCTTATTTCAATTGAAATAGCATAAAATATACATCGATAAATTTAGTGTCCTCTCTCTGCCTTCCCGTCCGCCTTATCCTTTATCCTTTAGGCATTTTTGCATCGGTTAAAAATAACGATTTAGCGAAGGTTCATTAATTTTACAATCACATCACGCCACCTAAGTAGAAGGACCTACTTATGTATTAAGGAAACATTCAATAATTTGTACCTACAGCATAAGTTCTACATAACGCTACGTTGTACTAAATAAATAAAATAAATAAATAATCCAGTACTACGTCTATTTTTTATAATATCAAGTGACGGGACGAACAAGTCGTGCGCCTGATGATGATGGTACGCTACACGCCCGTCCGTAACAGTTGCAGCGCCACTCAGAGCTTTAAATTGCAAAGATCTGAGGAGCACTGCCACTGTGCCCGTCACCCTGAGACATAAGTTGACAAGTCCCATGTGCCTGATATCAACAGCCCCCTCAGGGCATGTCCCCATTATGTCGTGACGACAGATAGTCGTGCAGTTTAAAGTGTCGTGGCTTGTATATTTAAATGAAGTTATTCACACATAGTACAACATAATTGACTGCCGTTCACGACTTGTTTGTGGGTAACGACAACAGACTGTATGTCGTGGCAATGGGAAGAGCTACAACGACAGTAGTCCGACGTCACGATAGAAATATGACGAAAGATAATCGCAACTTTAAACTATTCTGTCGTGCAAACGACAAGGCGGCTGCCGTGAACGGATAAATTGTCATCACGATCTAATGCTGGAAGTGGTCGGATTTCTGAATTGATGAACGAAAGTAGAAGAGTTTTTAAAGCTAAACTAAAGTGGTGCCAAGATCATCAAGAACAACTTAAGGCGATGTGGTGCCCAAAATCGCTTCCTGTAACACGTATCTTGAAGTGTAGCTTGAAATTCCTAGAATATTGCTTATTGTCATAGGTAATACAAAAACTGGATTACAGTGAGATTCTGGTGGTTATTTTTTGATATATTTTTCTCGGGCAAACCAAACTTACATACCTCCAGTCGTTCTTGGCGGGGTTGTACTAAAAGTTGTAAAAAAAATTAAGTACGACCAAGATATAGAAAGGGAGCGTAGGGCATTGTCAGTGAGATGCAATATGCTGCCCCGCAGGTTCGCGAGATGCTCTATCGATGTTAAAATTACTTTATTCAAGGCTTACAGCCAATCGTTTTACTCGAGCGGCCTATGGGTTAAGTATACGAAACAAGCTTACAAAGTCCTACGCGTTCAATATAATAACGCTTTCAGGATGCTGTTCAAGGAGGCGCAAGTAGACAGCTTCCAAGCGACATTGCGGAAGAAAATAGTATCGCTTATGACTCGTGTCAGAAGTAGCCACTACAGCTTCCTAAAAAAGGGTGCAGGCAGATTTGATTGTCCAATTCTAAAATAATGAGTGGGGCAAATCAAATCTGTTTTAAATATATATAATATAAATATTATGTCATGTTGTGTCGTTGTGTTCTTGTATACTAACCTATTCCAAGTGTTACTAACAAATTATATGGGTAATTTCTGCCTGAAATAAAATAATTATATTCCATTCTAATGGGAACAGCTATACACGACAGTCGTTCGACGATAAAATAAACGTCGACGGCGCAGTCACGACAGATAGTTATGATATAGGAACAGGCTATACACGACAGTCGTCCAACGATAAATAAAACGTTACGACGTAATGGGAACGCGCCCATGCCCTTCAAAAAGGAAATGCAGTAATGCTTACATTGCTGCTTGGCTGCAGATATAGGTAAGATGGCAGTACTTACTTAGTACTTCTCTGGACGAACTCATTCACAAGGAGCCTTACTGCTACTGTCTATGTTGCGATAAGTTTACTTTAAATACCCAAAAACCCCATAACACAACATTCCTATTAACGAACATTTCTTTATTTTGGTTGATGCAAAAATTAATCACTACATGACAAATAAAATAGTACCCAAATAAATAACTTGTAATTTTTTTGCCTGGACATTTCAAAAACTGCCAAAATAATTAATTCCCAAATTAAATTAAAAAATTTAATTCATTTTTTATTTTTAACCGACTTCAAAAAAGGACGAGGTAACATACGTACAAAATAAGTCGAATTGAGCTTATTTTGTATGTATGTTACGCTAACTTGTCGAAAATTTGTGAACTGATTCTGATTATTCTTTTTTTGTTGGAAAGAGGGTACCTCAATATTGGTTCCATTTAAATTTGAAGAAAATATTCCACCTCTAAGAGTGCCAAACTAGGGGATTAATCCGGTTTCGCGGACTTTCCGGTAACTGATTCCAATAAAACTTGGCAAACAAATGTAATTCCACGAATTTTTGAGCAGTTTTTTTTTAAATTTTACCATATTTGATTAAAAAAACCTCTAGATTGACAAGATCACGTTAATAGAGATTTTCCGCGGTATTTAGCATTAGCCGCAGACTGCTAAAGGCTTTAAAACAAATAATGTACTAATAAAAACATATATGTAACTTGCAGATAAAGGTGACTCATTGACATAGATTAATTTAGCTCTTACGTCGTACATTTCTATTACAACCTAAAAGCAATCCAAAACAGTTCGGTAAAAATATTACTAAAAAGATCTTCTCCTCCATGATCCATTCAAAATGTTATTGTACATACTTTATAAATAGCTATAGTTTATGACAATTCAAATAAATACCTATCTAAGTACAGACACTTTTATAGAAAGGCATTTCGTGTATGTATGAGTATATCAATGTTAGTTCTGTCAAAGTGTTAATCATATAAACACTGCCTTTAATATACATAAGTTACAAAAAAAACTTTTGTAACATAGTGATAGAGCCATAAAACAAAAACAAAAGAAATTAAATCTTTACCTAACTATATATATTTACAGTTGTAAGATTTTTATTAATTTTTTTTAGCAGGCTCTTTGTCTAATTGAAGAAATTTTGAAATAGTACATTTAATCTACATGGTCTGTCATACCATACCTGATTAAGTTTTTTCTTAACATTGGCATTTTATTTATGAAACAATTATTTCATACAAATTTATTTTTTAATTATTGAGTATTCATTCAGAGTAAGCATTCAATTTCATGATTTATTACATTTTAATGCCGACTCCGGAGCCAACTTTCCTCTCAATTATTTAAAGGTTAGCTGGAAGAAATCGCTTTATGGGATAAGCTCGCCTTTGTACAAGAATGTTCTATTCCTTTGTTAAAAAATTTGTAATTTGTTTTTGATGCACAATAAATTGTTGAAATACATACATAAATTTAACAACAGAACTAACTGTAGGCAATTTTCTTGTATCAATATTTGATTAGGCCATTACCTATCTTTATTGACATTTCTTAGTACTGTAATGTAATGATGAAATATTTGTTACTAGCCACTAATTGAACATTATACACAGCAATGATACTTACTTTAAACGATTCCAAAACATCAATCCATTGCTGTTTCTCTTCGGGGTTTGATGCCCTGAGGTACCACACACAGTCATTGACCGAGACATCAAATCTGCAGTCATCAAATTCGTGAGGCTGAAATAAACAATTGTGTTATAAACTTATGTTATGTGAACTGGTCCCAATGACCATAATGAATACACCAGCAGGAATATGTTGAATGACTAGGTGTCACACAAACAAGATGACAAAAAAATAACTAGTAGGCATCTTTTTAACTACTTGGTACTTGGTGTAATGGACTGGTGTCCGCAACTCGATGTCAATGCGCCTATTTTTTTTTTTTTTTTTTTTTTTTTTTTTATGACATTAAGTAACGGGACGAACAAGTCGTGTGCCTGATGGTAAGCTACACGCCTGCGTGTAAATAAAAGTGACGATGTAGATCATCATCTAAAGTGCATCTAATTAATGAGCAAAATTGTTTAGATTGAACTGCCTCCATGGCCAAACAGTTACCATGCTGGACTACCAACCAGAAGTCCCAGGATCAATTCCCGGGCCAGGAGAAATATTTGTATGGCCTACATTTATTTCTCTTGTGAGTTTGGATGTAATTTGTGTTTGTCTATATATGTGTCCATGGCATCCATAATACAGGGTTTCCCTAGTGCACCTTGTGAGTGTGAAAAAAAACAATTGTGTGCCAAATGTGGAAAATAAAAATTTATCATTATTTGGCGTAACGTAACTCACTCTTAAGGAAATATGGCTGCTAAAATATATTAAGGTAATTAGGCAAAAAAAACTGTTTACTGGTTACTTAGCTAACTTATTCAGTATATCATTAAAATATAAAGGACTTTAAAATACAAATACTTAAATAGGACAGCAAATCGGCACCGACTATACTTAATCATGACATTCTATCGCAATTACATACCAGAATAGATATCAATAAAATTACAATTCAGACAATTTATTATTATTCAAGGTCGATTAGTACGGTAATAAAACCGTGTCTATATTGTTCTTATGAGGAAGACCTGTAGACTACAAGGGCAAGTAAATTTTTTATTGGACTTTGACGCGATCACAAGACTTGACAAAATATATTAGAGTTCTCACCTTGACTTTGGCTTTCTTCAAGCATAGGGCACCACGACATCCAAGATTGCTCTCCAACTCACTCTTGTAGTATGAAAGTGTAGAATCCTTCAAAACAATAAACCTGTCTTGCCACCCATGGATATAATTTGTCCATTTGCTCAAGTATCCACGAAGTTCGGGATTTCCTGCATCCTCCAAATCAGAATTGTCGCTTACAGTTATATTTTCTTCCGTCATATTTTTCATTACGTATTTGATATTTACATGAAATCTACACAACACAAATAAAAAAAAAACAAAAATAATTCACAACAATAAATCAAAGAAACTCGTTGACGTTCGTTACCAGGCATAGACTAGTGCAAAGAGTAATAGTGATAAAGTTAGGCTTATTTATTTATTTATAAAGCATTGGCTTCAGAGCCATCAGCTTAATGATAACAAATAATCAAGAAACGCGCAACGTAATATACATAAACTAAAAATTAATTCGTGTAAGAAATGTAACTATTAAAATCCACCATTTGTTTTTAAAGTTAGGCTCAGGGGGTATACTTTCATACATTCTATAAATTTGACTTTTAAAACCATAGAACGCGATCTCTTCAATTTGATCCTTAAAAAAAACAATTTGTCTATGGTTCACGTTCATTTTCATTAGATTCGCTCTGGACCTTTTGGAGGGAAAAGTGTCGTTTTTATTTTGACTTTCAATTATTTTGTGAAATCTAGTTTAAAGTGGAATAGGATATTGCTATTGTGCCTTAATCGAAGATTAAAACGCGAAATTATACGAATCTCGAACTGAAATACCCGTATCGGCCCGTTTTAAGGAATCCCGAGTCAATCCAAGCACGCCGCCGCCGCCTCAAATTGCCTGTCCTCTTTGTGACGGCCATATTTACAGAAACATATTTAAACTTCATGTTTAGGCTGATGGCTTTGCCAAAGCCTTAATAAATTAAAAAATAATTAACTATTTGTAATAAATTGTTCTAGCATCACATTGACTAGTCTTTTATAATTTATACAGTGTTGTGTTGCGTTAATATTAAAGTCTCCTCCTATTATAATATATAAAATCTAAAACAAACTTTTTCGAACTTGACATTTTGCGGCCGCCATTACGTTTCAGTACACGCCATCTTTCTAGTTTATAGGTATTACGTACACGTAAACGCTAAATTATTGAACAAGAAATCAACTACAAAATTAATTAATAATTACAACGTAACATAATGATGAATACAGAAAAAGAAAAAAATTGAGTTAACGTAACATATGATGAATACAGAAAAAGAAAAAAAATTGAGTTTTAGTCTAGTTTTCTAACAAAAAAGAAGAATACTACTATGAAATAACGCCATCTGCTGCTAATGAACTGTACTGCTAAGACTTTCAGTAAACTCATAGGTACTCATTTTCTCAGTACTGAGTGATAAAACCCTGCTCTACTCTTTGGTTAGATTAGATTCTTATGCATGTTCGTTTTGGGAACGTAAAATTTAAAGTTAAACCAGACAGAGACTCTAGAGAACTCTTAGTAATAATTGTCTCTTTCTACCTTCTTCTACACTTTTAAATGAATACTCTATACTCGTGGAAATGAATTCCGAATCTGACGTAAATTCTAATTCTGTGAGTAAATGTCACAAAATTGGAATATGAAATGCTAATTATAACCGTCAATGTGCATAATAACCGCATAAGTATTTTAATAACCGGCAATCTACCTCACCACCGCACTAGATATCTTTCAACCCTGACGTTGGCGAAATCGTCGCGCAAAGAAAAATTTTAAATAAGCATCTCCAAATTACTTGAAATTTTTTGCAACAAAGTTTGCCATCGTCAAACGTACATACAGTCAATAGCACGTCAAGCTTGACACTTTGTACTTTGGACCGTTCCTAATGTAAGCGGGCACCTTAGATTTTTTTTCCATCCTCTAAGACACAGTTGGATTCAAATCTTACGTGTCAAGCTTGACGTGCTCTTGACCCTGTACGTACAATTTTGGATTGGCTCATTCGTTTTCAAAACACAACGCGGCCAATGAGTTTTTGAACGAAATGGAAACGAAATTGTTTTGACGTATATTTGACATTGTATTCCGGAAGCTAAGTTTCATTAAATAAATCGATTTTTAGTAGGCGCTATTTCATTGGTAGATTTTAAGGGACCGCCAAAAGTGTGATCATTTGACCAATGGGAGAACGTGGTTTTACAAATAACGCGCAATTTCCTTCCAAGATGGCTGCCAAAACTATGCCTATTTCTGTTCCATCGGAAAAACCTTTAAAACTCGCCAAATGGAAAATAAAACAAGGTGCATTTGTGTCACAGGGACAAATATTATTTTTGTACAGTGATTCTTCAGGCAATGGTAATGAAATAAAGAAGTTTAAAGCGGCACGCGCTGGTACTGTATCGACCATCAAGGTGAAGGAAGGAGACGTCGTAGAACCTGGGTAAGTGACGTCACGCTTTATTTATGGTAATTAAAAGTACTTTACAAGGATTTCTTAAAATGTTTTCATTTAAAAGCATGAAAATTCTCTGGATTTCCTGATAATGATAATTAGACAGCTATTATGTTATGGATAGGGTGTTGATTCGTTTGCGCGGCAAAGTGCGACTTCTGTCATACAATAATTACAATTCGAGTTCCCGCCCAAAAAGTTTACCTGTGGTTTTTTTTTCTGCAGTAATTTGTAACAATATTACTGACTAAAGATTAACAATAATGGAAAACAAATAATATAAAATGTTTAAAAGAATGTTTATCATTCGCATAAAGTTCATTATAGGTTAGAAATTAAAATATCTATATTTCACACATAAGTTTGTTCATAGCACGGAGATAGCAGTGTTAGAAGAATGCCGGCACCCAACAGTGATGAAAGACATGTGTGCAGAGTGTGGGACAGATCTCCGCACAGATGAAAATGCTAAACTGGATGTAGCTATTGTGCCTATGGTCCATTCTGTGCCTGAACTGAAGGTAACTTACGTTTTACTCACAATAGAACATATTTCCATTATAAAATATCCAAAGTCCCATGTATATAAACACTTTGTTTCTTTGTGGAGATGCTCAAAATACAAATAATTCAAAACATAAAAGAATTGTATTTTAATTGTTTCCAGGTATCAGAAGAATTAGCTCAAAAATTGGGGCGAGAGGATGCTGAGCGTCTACTAAAGGACAGAAAACTGGTACTGCTTGTGGATCTGGACCAAACCCTAGTTCATACCACCAATGACAATGTACCTTCAAATTTGAAGGTGAGAAAGAAATTATAGTCAAACTATTTATATTAAATTACTCATGTCTCAATCCATCACTGAGGACACGGCATAAGGAAAACCTGATTTACTGAGTTATTCACAGGATATACAATAGTTACACTTGATTTTATTAAGACTTGCCTTCCACCCTGGTTTGATGAATGCGAGTTGTTGGAAGATGGGTATTTGGTATTGCAGAAATTAAAATTTCTCTCCTTCCACCTCAGCTTGTCAATCACAAATAGACAACTGAAAACATTCAAGCAAATCAGCGAGTAACACTCTTCATTCACTGTTAATTATTAACTGTCACTAAGATAATCCAAACATAATAAGTTCACATCTAATCATAAATCAAACACTGGCATAGCAGTTACAGTTTTCATGCTCAGAAAGAAAAGTCAATGTTGAATATTAATAAATACTTTAACCATTGTCTACGGTATACCTGCTTAGAAGACATAAATTGCTATCTTTCCGCCTTAATTTTCTTTACTTAATAAACAGAGTCATTGTCTACCAGTAAGATATAATTACTAGGTAGGTAGTAACCTCCTTGCAATATTGACACTTCATTTAAAATATACACTTTATTTTGTCAGGATGTTCTACACTTCTTCCTCCGATGTCCAGGGAGCCCAGGACGATGGTGTCACACACGCTTAAGGCCTCGTACTCATGAATTCTTAGAATTAGCATCAAAGAATTATGAACTACATGTCTGTACTTTTGGTGCAAGACAATATGCTCATGCTATTGCAGAGCTGTTGGATCCAGAGAAAAAGTATTTCTCACATCGGATACTGTCTAGAGATGAATGTTTTGATGTGAGGACAAAAGCTGCAAATTTAAAGTGAGTTATATGGTTTTTCCTACCTGATATAAACAAATTTATAAACCAAGATTTAACATTTGAAATCACCCATGAACAGAGATGGGCAGTGAGTTAATTTAAACTGAATCAACCTGCCTGAATTTTAACCGGGTTTTTTACCCAATTCTGCCCCAAATTGTGGGTGAAAATATATGCATATAATCTCAGTACAGAGTACTAAAAAACTGACCTCAAAAGTATGTGAAATTACATATAATTACCATGTTTTATTGAAATCGGTTGCCGGGTAGTGCGCAAACCCGGATTCATCCCCTACTTCGCCACTAAAATATAATTAAAAACGATTCTTACTTCTCAAAGCATATTGAGAGTGAAAAACGCCTTGAATTGGCGAATAGCAAAATCAACCATTAAAATAATTGCTGCTTATAATAAAATTTAGGCACTATTTATAAAAATGAATCTTCATGTGTGAACCGCCTCAGACCGTGCCACCCTTAGAGGTGAATGATTTTCTTCAAAATTAAGTGGGACCACTATGGAGATACCTCATTCCAACAAAAAAAGAAACACGAAAATCGGTTCACGAATACCGGAGTTACTCCTTTTTTTGAAGTCAGTTTAAAATAATATGGAATTTGGTAATATTGTTACTTATTAGAAATTTCGATGTAAAAAATAATTTTTAGACTATTGCACAAGATTGACAGAGGTTGGTCTTACTGAGTTAGGCAAGCAATAGTGCTTTTAATAAACCTTGGCATGCATTTTAATTATCACTGGTAACATTATCAATAATGTTGCGGCTTGTATTGCTTCTGAAGAATGTTCACATAGTAATTATTAATATTACAGAGTACTTCTGATGATACTGGTACTACTATATTATCCCATGATGCAACATCTATAGTTATGATTTGATTTTGGTACATGGTTGACAATGATATTAATTTGGTGTTGAGGGACTTTGTGTAGTGTGTTCTGCCCTCTGAACGAAAAAAGGCACAACTGCTGTGTAAAGTACGCAAAGCTGTGCCTTTTTCCATTATATAATATAATAAATAAATTATAACATCGTATGGAATGCTTTGCATATAAAATTCGCAACACCAAAGTGCTTGCGCTTCTATATGGCATTCTTCTGATTATCCAATATGTAAATGTTAATTTTCAGAGCACTATTTCCATGTGGGGACAACATGGTATGCATAATAGACGATCGCGAGGACGTGTGGAGGCACGCGTCGAACCTTATCCATGTGCGGCCTTATTCCTTCTTCCAATCAACGGGCGACATCAATGCGCCACCGCTATTGCGTAAGTTACTATTAATTAGCCTAGTGTCACACATGCCCAAAAGGGAGTCATTGTTGTTTCATCCACTTTAAGATCTATGTTTTTAGGCAAACATGACGTTAAAATTAAAAAGGTTTAGGTAAAGGTTTGGGTTAATTAAAATTATAAGGTTTATAATTTTGGAGGTAAGCAAAATACACCTGAAAGCCTAAGTAACACTTCTCATCCGTAAGGCAGATTTTTCCTTCTTTACCTTAGAATGTTTGTGTTACAAGTAAAAAACTTGTTTATACATCACCAACATTATGTAGATAACTGAAAATAGTAACAGTACCGTATCAAGCATGGATAAAACAATTACCAAGTGTAAGGAAAAATAAAACAATCGGTGACATCTTGTGAACTGCCGTGTATTTTTTTTCTTTAACTAGTGTTGTCCCTTGTGCCCTTTAAAAATTAAATTTTTAGTTACTAATTAACAAACAAATTAAAATTTTTACATATTTTAATAATATATAAACCTTACACAAGACTGAAATGAGAATGGCATACCATTGTAGCTCATAAAATACAAAATAATTGCTATATTACTTATTTTATTTACTTTTTAAATTATAATCAGAAAATTGCTCCATAGGAATTGCACTTGTTTGAATGCAGAAACTTTCTTAGAGGTCTTGTCACTTTTGTCAACAAATCAAACTTTGCTTTTGGATTAAGATACAAGTTACGTTTACAAAACTTGACGTAACTACACTAATAATCCATAAAACAAATGCCCTTCTGAAGACTTTCTTTTCTTAAGACTAAAAAGTAAGACAGATACGAGGACTACATATCAATGGAACTTTTCTTATTTGATAGTTTTACTAAAGCTAGATTATCTATGTACACTTATAGCATATATTATATAAATTTTTTCTAAAAGTTACAGTGTTCTTTTTTCTCTTCATTATCGTAAAACTAACAGCAGACTTTCAATTAATTGCCTTTAATACCTTCTCAAAATTTCAGCTGAAGAAAAGCCCAAACTACCGAGTGGCAAAAACGGCGCTCAAATACCAGAGATCCACCAAATGCCTACATTAGATCCTGAGCCTGAACAAAAGGAACAAAAAGACGTGAAGGTCACAGAGGATGATAAGACAAGTGAGGGAGATAATGGCAAAATTCTTAATAAAGATAAAGAGGACACTGTTGAAGACAGTGGAGAAAAAGGTAACTGACAGCTAGCTATATTTAAAAGGTTTATGTTTTAGAAGATGGTGTTTATGTGTGACAAGCAAATAACTTTAGAGAACAGCAATGAATTTGGGTAAATACCAAAATGGTGAAAACAGCCAAACCAATTTAGACAAATTTCAATTTTTATAGCATTTTTTTAAAGCCCCGCACTAGAAAGCTCTGTATCGCGGGTGCCATGGACACAAATTGCACCCAAACTCACAAAACAAATAAATGTAGGCCATACAAATATTGTTCCCGGCCCGAGAATCGAACCCATGACCTCTGCATGGCAGACCGGTATGGTAACCCTTCGGGTATGGAGGCAGTTAAGAAGCCTCTGAATGTACTTTGAAAAAAATAATTATTATATTAAATCACGTGCATTTGACATCACATACAAAGATAAAATATTGAAATTGAGTAACTTGTTTCTAGTTATTGTTACAGCTGACGAAGTTGAAGTGGAAGATAGACCAGAAGTAATGGAGCCAAAATGGGTGGAAACCCCTGACGGACAGATCGAAGTGGAAGATCCCGACGACTACCTCATTTATTTGGAAGATATACTTAAAAGGATACATGAGTTAGTACTATTATCATATCCACCATACCAGTTTTCTGTAAACCTATTGCTTGTAACATGAATATATGTGTATCAATATTTATATATACATGGTAATGGACACAGGAAATTGCATATCCTACTTACAATAATGATAACTAAATTTTGAATTAAAATTTATGTCATTTTTTTAAAACGTTATTCACTAACAAATCTCTTTCAAACATTGCCTTTAACTTTCAGTCATTTTTACGATCTCTACGATAAAATGGGCGGAAAACAGATCCCAGATCTCAAAGTAGTGATACCAGAAGTGAAGGGTAAAGTTCTAGAAGGCACAAGTCTCGTCTTCAGTGGATTAGTTCCTACTCATCAAAGGCTGGAGACGTCGCGAGCGTACTTAGTTGCTAGAAGTCTAGGTGCTGAAGTCACACAGGACTTCACTGATAATACTACACATTTGGTAGCTGTTAGATCAGGTAAAGATTCTATGTAACACCCCACATACCTACTCAAATCACTGGTGGTTTTCTGCCAGTGTATGTAGAGTATATTTATTTGGACAGATATATTTTATTATTAATTCAAAGTTGTACCACTTAAGAAGTGTTGTATTTATAATGTGTGTGTGCTATCTTTTGCGGTGTACAGAAAAACTTAGTTAAGTGTATGTTATCATGGAATGTTTTTTAGTGCTTTGAATGTAATAAATAAACAAATAATAATCTGGAACAATAAGTGTAATAAAATTTTCCAGGTACAGCAAAAGTCCACATAAGTAAAAAAATGAACGAAGGAAAGAACAAACTGCACGTTGTCACGCCAGACTGGTTGTGGACCTGTGCTGAGCGGTGGGAGCGAGTCGATGAGAGATTGTACCCCTTACAAAGAGGGGGACAGGTAAAGTAATCCTTAGATGATATAATTTATTCCACTTTTACTTTAATGCCATCATAGAAATTTCATACAAATATTACAATGTGGGTGATCTCTAAGGGTGGTCTGTGCGAATGTCCATTATACCTTTGGCTGAAATGACGATGATTAATCTTAACAATTTTTATACTTTAATAGACTCAGTATTGATATGGTTGCGGTATTGGAGCGTATTCCTCATCTTCAACTTAAGATTTCAATTATAATTATTATAATTATTTTTACAATTATTTCAATTTCTAATATAATGCAATTTATTATACTAGTGATTGTTGCCCCATCTGCCATTACATGGTGAGGAACCATGGGCCACAAATAGTAGGACCCACAAAAACGAAAGACATACATTCTTATTGCTTTATTAGCCAGGCAATGTTTGACCAACCGCAGTTTCGTTGTCGAGACTGCTACTATTTTGTGTACTGCCATAATCAGCGTGGTCTCTCCACAGAGTAGCTCGCGTCGGCCGCCGGCACACTGCAGCAGCCCACCGCCCGCACCTCCCGCCGCCGCGCTGCGCAAGCGCACGCCTTCTGGCCGGTTCATGGACACGCTTAACCCTCTGCTCTCCTTCTCCAGTGACGACATCGCTGATATGGACCGAGAGGTAACATATGTATATTGCATTCTCACACACATTGGAATCTCGTTGTACATTGTTTCGTATCAAATGTAATAACCTCGCATTCTGAAAAACTGAAATAGTTTTTTTTTTTAACTTGTTTAAAGCTTTTACCTCTTTTAACTGCCTCGGTGGCCGAACGGTTACCATGCCGGACTGCCACGCAGAGGTCCCAGGTTCGATTCCCGGGCCGGGAGAAATGTTTGTATGGCTTACATTTATTTCTCTCGTGAGTTTGGGTGTAATTTGTGGTTGTCTATGTGTGTGTCCATGGCACCCGCGACACAGGGTTTCCCTAGTGCGGGGCTATGTTGAATGTGTGCGTTATTTAAAAAAAAAAACCTCTTTGATGATGATGATGATGATGATGATGAAAGCACATATAAAAAGGTTCACAGTAACTCTTCAAAGACATGTGATGTCTCTAGCCAGTATTGTGTTGTGGTGGAATAGTAGCATAATTAGTAATAATTGCTTAATTATGCCACAATTCTACCACAGCACAAGGTTGTAAACCCTTTACATTAGTTGAAGGATTAAATACAAAACAGTGTGATTTAGTAATGAATAAATGTAATAATATTTTCAGGTAGAGGACATATTTAACGAATCAGATGAAAGTTCGTCAGATGAAGAGTCAAAAGCTCAAGGCGATGACCTGGACGACGAAGAAAACCCGCCGGAAGATAGGCTACTTACTGTTGAAGACAGTCAAGATCGGTAAGGATCATTCTAATTTTATAAGTGGGATATTTTTTTTTAAATCATATTTTTATGATTTAGCCCTGGCCTCCCTCTGCATGAATATGTGAAAGGAAGGCAGATTCAGGATCAAATTAGGAAGAGGACATGGCTCCCATTGCTAGTTGGCATGCACTAAAATTAGGGGCTCCTAATGCATTTATAAGGATATGTTAAAAAATGTACATGTCAAGCATTCTAATAAAATGCTAGCTTTATTGACTTATTATTGAGTTTCAGATTTGCTTTATGATTTAAACATTTTACATTGTTGAAAAATATGAAAGTAGACAATATTTTCTACTAAATATTTCTGTTACAGATTAGAAGAAACACAAGGTTTTGATGAAGAAGATAGTGATACAAACCTAGGCAAGTTTGCAAAATTTTTATAGCACTTTGAAGTACCACAGAATTTACTTTTTCTACACAATCAACTATAATCCCTGTCATACCAGATTTTTTCACCTTTGATAAGCCCTGTAATTTAAGACTAGTTTAAACTAAATATTGTACATTGCAGATGCAGATGGTCCCAGACGTAAGAGACCGCGACCATCCACTCCTCCATCAGATGACGAACCTCCTGACGACGATGACAGTTCTTGGCGGCTCATGGGTGCTGCGCTTGAGCGGGAGTTCCTCGCACAGGACTGATGTCCGTTGTTTACGATCAATAAATTGTGCTCTACAGTACCTGTTAGTTTTATTGTCTCTGTTAGTAGTAATATCTTGGTGTAAAAACCTAACTATACAAATAAAATACAGGCTACCCACCTTTTGTGGAAATAGTCATGACTGATCCTCATTTATAAACGAATGATATAATTTTGTGCATATTAAAGTGCTTGACATGTAGGAATAAGCATGCAGTTGGTATCAACTGGCCAACAAGTCAATGTCACTCAAATCAGTAACAACACGGATTTTGAAGAAGCACTTCTTTTGCTCAAACGAATTTGGAGCTGAGAAAATGCGCGCGTGACGTGGAATGAAAAGCGCGTACGGAGGTAGCAGCGAGAGGGCAGTCAATGTATGGCTGAATTGTTACAGACGGATGTCGGACTTGTCAAGCTTGATGTGCTCTTGACAGTACATAGAAGACTAGTTTACTATGTGATCGCCACTTGAAGCAGTCGATGCTAGCTGCTTCAAGCTACCTGTGTATGGCCGGCCCAAGAGGCAAAGTAGCTTAAATACATTGTGTAAGCAAGTGCCTTTAAATAAAAATTGCTACTAAGTATATTCTAATAATTTATATTTTATACTAACAACTAATTATTACAATAACTAAATTGCATATGGATCATTTTCATCAAATACATGGAACTTAGTATAAGTCGGTTTTTCTGTGAAGTTTTTCTTTCCTTCTTGCCAACCTCTTGCAGGTGCTTTACTGTAGTCAAATGAAGAGTCCAATTTTCCATATAACTCGGATTGTTTCTCAATATCGTCTCTGTATTTTTCCTTAGCCACTTTCTCGCCAGTTACTGGGTCCGTTACATCGCCGAAAGGATACACAACTTCTTTAACCTCATGTGTAATTAATTTCGTAAGTTTATGTGGTAAGGCTTTGATCAAAACTACATCGCCTGTTCTGCATTTCTTTTCTGGATCATGGCAGTAATAAAATTCGTCTTTTCGAAAATACTACAAATTAAAAACACGGATATATTAACTTTTTTTAAGAGTAATAATTTCATAAATAAGTAATATAATAATGAATTATTTAATTAACTTACCATCAAAAGGTTTTCATCCAATTCTAACCTCTTAACTCTAATTTTAGTAGCGTTTTGTTTAACAGTCGGAACGCATTGACCTAATAAGAGGAACTTTTTAGCAGCATCAGCTACATTTCGGGCCATTATAGAATGGCCAATTTAATAAAAAATATTTGAAAATTTACAAGACCTATTGTTAAGAGAGTTTTTTTTTTAATCATATGGCACTAGAATTCTGTGTGCCAACGTCAAAGTTAAAGGTTAGGAAACGGACGGGAGGAAAACCAAAAAGGAAAGGAAACATGATCAGGAGAGCTAAGTTTGGAAGGAATTAATATATAGAGAGATATTATAATTTGAAATATATACATAAATTACACAAAATAAATAAATGCAAGGACTTAATTTTTATATTATTTGTAATAATAAATGAATATGTAATATCGAGTTATTAGGTTTTTGCGACCGTGACCATGGGACCTGTAAAGGGCCCGAAACGTCGGTTTGTTTGAAAAAACAAATATACGCGATTTAAATCCGGAAAAATAGTTTAATTCCTATTTGCCTGTCAGGTATAAAAAAAAAAAAAAAATTTATAATTTATAATAGAGAATTGGATACATAAGGAGGCATGACACACGGGTAGGTAAAGGAACATGTAAAGATAGGAGTTGTTGGAGGAAGAAGGAATGGTCAAATCGGGAATAAGAGAAAAAGATGTGATCTAGGTCCCTCACATCATCACCACACTAGCATAAATCGCTGTCTATAATATGAAGTCTAGCTAGGTGGAGAGGAGTGCATGTATGTCCAAGACGCATACGAGTAATTATAGAAGTAGAGCGTTTGGCTGAATTTATCTTAAAAAACCATGGTTTTATGGGACTGTGAGGTTGAATATTAAAGTAAAATCTACCTTTCGATCGAGCACTCTCTTCCCAAACTTTATTCCCGGACTCCTGAAGATAAACTCTGGGCAGAGCAACCAAGTCATGGCAATAATTTTTGTAAGGGACCATATCTCCACAGGTAGAAGCAGGCTTCTTCAGGATCTATGCTGGGGATCCACGCAAAAATTACAGAGTTGCCTCTAGCTTTACACTGTAACAATTTTTTCCTTATTTCGAAAATTACAGGATAGTAGGGTTTCATTTTAAAAGGAAATTTCTCAAGGGTTTGCAAAGCACTTTTTGAGTCTGAAAAAACAATAGTTTTACTCAAATTGCCAATAAGTATATATTCTACTGCCCTAAATAGACTGCAGCATTCACCTGTAAACACGGAAGTTTCGGGGGAAAGCTTAACCTGTTGCATTATTTTGTATTGGTTGTGTATTACCCCAACTCCTACACATTGATCACAGGATATTTTCGACGCATCAGTGTATATGTGATGCCATTTGCTGCAGTTGTCTCAGCTTAATATCACTTTTGTCAATACCTACGTTATAACATATATTTGGGACTATTAATAACTATTCAAAATCAGACAATCGATGAACACGTGTTTGAACATTGTGAATTTTACGAAAACTTTGGATGAGGCATGGAATAGTTTTATGAATCCAATAGCGCGATGACACAATATAATCATTTAAAGTATGAAGTTTAATAAGAAGCTGATGATTTAAAAATTGCATAGCCCTTATGAGAAATCTGTCACTCAAAAATTGTCTTCTAAGATGGAGTGGAGGGCTGCCACATTCCACTTGTAGAGTATTGATCGGGCTAGATTTCATAGCGCCTGTCACAATTCTAACAGCCTTTGACTGAATAGAGTCCAGTTTTTTAAGTCCTGCAACAGTACCTCCTACCAGTGGAAACGTGCCATAATCTAGCCCACTTCTGAGCACTGCATTATAAAGAAGTTTCAGACAGAATGGATGGGCTCCCCACCACAATCCTGATAGACATCTCAAGAGTTTTTCACATTTAGAACTTATAAACTCAAAGTGAGAAAGACTAGTCAGTTTACTATCTAATATAACACCCAAAAATTTGATGATTTTTAAAGGGTAAAGGCAAATTATCATACTTTACAGTTACAGGAAGGATTGATCACATTCTTGAAAAAACTACCACATCACTTTTAGCAATTGATAGTTCAAGCCCTTTTCTGTCCAACCCATCGAGTTATCTCGATGGTCCAACCACTCTCTTAACAAGGTCAGAGAGTGTGTTAAAATATTGCAAGAATTATCTAAGTTTTTATCCATAGAGTATAGCAACAAGTCATCCGCACATTGTAAAATATTAATAGTATTACCATTAAGAGACGGTTCTAAATCATATACGTAAATGTTACATAGAAGTGGACTAAGGAAAATGCGGGAAATTTTTGAATTATGGGATATTAGTGATATAACTCTTTTGGATAGAAGATTAATAATGAAGTTAATCAGAGAATTCCATAAGTTTTCGTTTAAGGATGGAGATTATGACGTTATCATAAGCAGATGATATAGCTAAAAAAACTGCTACAACGCACTTGTTGCAGGATAAGGCTATTCGGATATCAGAGGATATACTGATACTGTCTAATGTACTTTTTCCCTTCCAAAATCCAAACTGGCTGTCAGTCAACTTTCGATTATTCTCAATAAACCACTCAAGACGATTTTTAACAAGGTGTTCTGATATCGTGCATAATACAGACGACAGAGCTATAGGTCTGTACGATGCTGTATCGTCGGAGGGCTTGTTAGGTTTTAAAATAGGTAGAACTACTTGAGATCTCCATGAAAGTGGAACGTTACGTAGACAGCATAATGTTGTTAATTAAATTTAAATAATATTCTAATGAATGGGCACAAATATGATACAAAGGCGTATACTATCTTCTCCAGGGGCAGAATCTTTGACGGATGAAAGAACTCCTTTTAACTCGGAAATAGAGAAGGGTGAATCTAAATAGGAATCAATTTAATTGGTTACAGAATTAGGAGAAAGCAATAGCTCTCTCTCAGGGACGGAAGGCGGGGCCAACCGGTCTAAAAACTTGTCTGCTATAGATGATGAAAGAGTAGTACATGACTGATGATTGAATGCAAATGAAACGTTTTACGTCACGCCAAATCAATGATGGGCAGGTATTCGGAGATAGTGATGTACAAATTGTCTTCCAGGCTTGTTGTTTTTTCTCACGGAGTAATTCGTAAGTGGATTTGATGGTATCTTGTAAAACTTTTAAGTTTTCATGAGACATCCTGACCATACTCTCTCTCTCTACCATTTTCCTCCTACATACAGCTTCAACATATTGAGTATCCCACCATGGTGGAAAAGGAATCTTCCTCGAAGAAGTATCCTTAATGGGAAACAATTGATCTGCTACATTTATTAAGCACTTTGCAAATTCCACAGCTCTTTCAGATTCTGCGTCAGCGACATTATTCGGGAGGTCAGAAATTCGTTCAACCATAGTTTAAATGTAGTCCAATCAGCGTCATGTAGTTTATGCTTTAAACGAGGCTTACGTCTAGGAGTAGCTTTGTTTTTAATAGGAGTCGACATAATCAAAGGGAAATGATCACTGCCAAAAGAGTAAGGAAGGGGAGACCAAGACGTGAAAGAAGCCAAAGACGGAGTACAAATAGCCAAGTCAACAACGCGGATGTTTTTGTTGTGGTTTGTGCGTCGAGATGGAGCACCAGTATTTAACACACAGAGGTTAAGGGTATCTAAAATTTCTAGTAAAGATTCCCCAGCACTTTTAGTCACTCCACTGCCCCACGAACGATGGTGGCAATTAAAATCTCCAAGAACTAAAAGTGGTCGTCGAAGACTAATTAAAATGTTATTAATTTTAATGAAAACCGAATCAGAGGGACGAGAAAGGTAAATGGAAACAACAGAAATATTTACAATACAAATACCTACAAAATTTATATTATCAGAATTTCGAGAAGAAAAAGGTATACGGGAAAATGGAACATAATTTTTGACGAGAATGGCAACACCGCCATATTCGACAGATCTGTCATCACGCAAACAAAAAAAAAAATTATTCTCACAGGATTCGCTCTGGACCTTTTGGAGGGAAACGTGTCGTTTTTATTTTGACTTTCAATTATTTTGTGAAATCTAGTTTAAAGTGGAATAGAATAGTGCTATTGTGCCTTAATCGAAGATTAAAACGCGAAATTATATGAATCTCGAACTAGAATATCCGTATCGGCCCGTTTTAAGGAATCCCGAGTCAATCCAAACACACCGCCTCAAATTGCCTATCCTCTTTGTGGCGGCCATATTTACAGAAACAAACTTCATGTTTAGGCTGATGGCTTTGCCAAAGCCTTAATAAATTAAAAAAAAAAAAACATTATTCTCAGGACATTGGCGCAATCGCCATTTTTTTGGTATAATTTTTATAATAATATTAAACTACCGTACATAGTTATTTTTACTTGCCAAAAATTAAAATCAGGGGTCTATCTCGATCTCCGTCCGAAACAATTAATATCAAATAAGTAATATTCGACTAAATTAAAAGATAAGTATCCAGCATGAACAATGAAGCTTCATTCGCATCACGCGTCTTTTCATTTGATCAAGTATTATAAAGTCAGCGATTACTTAAATGACAAGAACATAGAATAATAGTTAACCACCACAAAATAATGACATAAATATAATTAAGAATTAAAATTAAAATTAAGATTTGACATTTTGTAATTAAAATGTAGTAATGTACTGTTAAATTAATTTAATTATGTAAATTGTATGCCGTAAAATTGGCAATACGTACTGACACAACAATGTTAACACAGACTACTTAGTGAACTACGTTCAGACTGCTCACTGTAGTACTTTTTTTTCAGTAGTAAGAATTATTTTTAATCTGTGATACTAATGTCGACTGACATTCCATTTTTTTTTAATAGGTAGACGATATTGTCTTGCAAAGGAGCACAACGTATACATCCATACTTTAAAAAAAAAAGGTGGTTAGGGGTTCCAGTTCATTTATATAAAATAATACGATAAAATAAAATAAATAAAACAACTCAATATTTGTTATGTTGTTGTTGTTTTTTGCATAAGGATTTTATTTGTTAATTTTTCGAACGACATTTTCTTATTAAACTGAAGGGCTCTCTTAGCTCTTCGATGAAAATCGGCCTGCTGTTTAGACTTTTTGTATTCTTTATAAATACTTTTGCATGTTGGTGACAAATCTTTTACTTTCGTGATTAAACGTCTTCTCATAGGTTTCGGATCCTTAGCAATTCTGACTGTATCCAAGCCTGGAAAACACAAAAGTGAATGATGAAGTCAACTACTATGGAATGTAAAACATTATAACAACATGCAGCTGCACACTTACATATTATGTTGTATGTTACAAGTTTGTTGAATGAGCAGTTGCAAAGAGAAAAACCAAACATTTATTTTCGACTATACATAAGGTTATTAGAAGAATATACTAGGTTACATAATACAAAGAAAATTAATGTCTGAACTGGGAACAAACTCAGGACCTCTGCATATCCAGCATGGAGTAAATAAAGGTTCATTGCAAACATATTCATGTGGTAATAATACAACAATAATAACTCAAAATTACTTACCAGAGGCTTGAAATGCTTCATTCATCACTGGTTCAATGATTACAGGATTAACTGAAAAATAATTAGGTACTGTTGAGAAACAAGATGTTTCCATCATATAAAACAGATAGATGATGTTTATAAAATAGATCACAATAAACATACATAATTAACATCTACAATAAACGAGGTATTGTGGAAGAGATTGTAGCACCATTTGTCCACACTCACTGATGGTCTATAAGTACAAGTTGCTTCGGAATTGTGTAAAAAATGAAAAGTTGACACACCGTTAAAACCTTAACTATCCTTTATAACTTGAGTCCAACAAAAAAATTCCATTACCTAAGTCCTGTTTAGGCGGTGGAATTTGCGATGGGCCAGGCACATTCTGAGACTCACTGGAGCTAGAGGCAATTACTTCTGAAACGTGAGAAATTACTCACTATAATTTTATGCAAGTCTCTTCTGTAGGTATTTTGGTATTCTGTGTGTTTATGAGTGAGAGTTAAATAAATGTGACAGGTGATAGTTGAAAATAATAACTTGTTATTTATTTGCAACAAGCATTATGTATACTATATTATCACATACTATAATACCGAACCAGTAAAGGGGCCAATATGTCAGAATATAAATTTACATGCAATAAATCCATTTCAACAGTTTTACTAGAAAATGTTACAGTAATACAAACTGCATTACTAACCTTTTAGTGGTTCCCTTTGAAAGTATGTGTGGTCAAAGTGTCTTTTACGCAAGTAACTATGCTCCAAATCAATATCCATGTTTTCTGTAAGTGCAAAATAAATAAAACAATTAATATTAATAACATTAAAAGTTATTCCTTCGAACTAGGACACATCCGGGTATAAACACTAACACATGCAGGTATAAACAAACAATTCAAAACTCAATACTATTTCTTTAGTTTTAAAATTAAGTAAGTACTTAAATTGTTATAAGTTATTAACGCTGGATACACCAACGTCGGCAATTGCGAATTTGTTTCTTAGATGACGGTTATAGTTATTAATATTTTATTTCTACAAAGCAAGTACGGGCTAAGCTCATATTAAAAGTCTGTTAGGACGTAGAGATTAGAAGGCTATAGTAAAGTCTGTACTTAAAACTTACCGGCATTGTCCTGTGATGGTATTCCAGGGGAAATCTCGTCTTCGGTAAACAAAGATGGATATGCACTGCCTATGAGACGTAATTTCGGCGTAATAAACCTCTTTTCAAAGTGTTTTTGACATACAAAAACGTTTGAAAGTTCTTCTGGTGATAACTTTTTCAGATTATCACGATTTAGTTACTTTAACCACTTCATGAGTCTTTTCTCAGTGCGAGGAAAATGATGTAAAATAGCGTCCTGTCGTGAACTTTTACATACACAGCACTCGTACATTTTGTATGAAGCAAAATACAAACACACAATACAGAATTAACGGAGAGGATAAGCACGTCACGTCTCCACTCGATCCGAACCTGTACAAAAAAGCTACAAGCCACTACAAGGTGAAAACAACAAAACAATAACAAAGTGTAAAATACTACGATCACTACCCAAGATGGCGGAAAGGCTACCTACGCCTGCGGCAGCCAATCACAGCAAGGAAACAAAAATGACAAATGTCATTATTCATTAAAAAAGATGGCCGCTATTGCGAGTGGTTTTCTATAGGTAGATTACTGGCCGTGAATGTTAAATAAGATCTTATAGACGTGCGTACACAATAAATGATTTGATTTGATTTGAAAGTATTGCTTATTTGGCAGTAATTGTTTCGGACGGAGATCGAGAGTAGACCCCCTGGTTTCAGACAAGTTTCTGATAGAGCTATAACTAAAAGGTTATATTTATTAACAATATAGGAAAGACTGTACATTACCATCGCACGATTTGAGGTGGGGGGGAGGGGGTGGAGGGAAGGGGGGGAGGTGAGGGGACCCTTCGTGTAAAGTTTCAAAGTTAGGAAGTTAATAGTTTTCGAGAAATTAATTTTTGAAAATTCGAAAAAAATAACCTCAAAAAATCGTGTTTTCGCACCAAAGAGCGGGGTAAACCCCTCCCCCGAACCCCTAGCGGGAAAAACCCACCCCCAAACCCCTCCCCACTTCCTGTGTTATATGAGAAACTAAATTTAACTTAAAACCAGGCAAAAACGCAAAATCCTAATTGATGCATACATCAAACAGTAAACAACAATTTTACTTGAAAACTATCGAATTTTAAAAAGTTAAATAAGAATTGTAACTACTTTATTTTTTTTAAAAAAAACCTCAAAAGTTTGTGGAATTAAATTTATTTGCCAAGTTTCATTATAATCGGTTACCAGAAAAAACGCGAAACCGGATTGATCCCCTAGTTTGCCATCCTTGAAATGGGACCAATGTTGAGGTACCCTCTTTCCAACAAAAAAATAAACATGGACATCGGTTAACAAATTCCGAATTAATAGCGTCATACACAAAAAAATAAAAAAGTAAATACAGTTGAATTCAGAACCTCCTCCTTATTTTGAAGTCGGTTAAAAACTAATTCTTAACCTTTTTTAAATTCGGAGGTTTAACGTGAAATGAGTTTTGGACAGGTCTACTTTGAAAAATAAATCTGTCAGGTAAAGTTTTGAAAATTGGTGAATTTTGCTTTACTATTATGTTCATTAAACTCTAGTAATTGTTACCTTTTGTCGAAGTCTTGACTGCATGAAATCAATCGCGACTTCTGGCATTAACTGTAGACGTGCTTTCCATCTGTTAGTAGCCTAACACTGAAGATAAGGCTGTAGGTACTTAACTAAACCACAATTCATTATGTAATCGGAGTGCACCTCTTGAATTAAAGTTTTAGGTTCACCATACTTGATTTCATTATCACGAATAAAAAACCATTCATTTCAAAATAACTATAAAAATCTGATTATACTATCATGCCACTTACAATAACAATTGTAATAATAATAAAGCTATATAACATTTGTAACCTTTTATCAAATACAGATTAAACTGAATGTTGACACAGAATATCCTGTTGTTACCACACTTTCTGTCCCATCTTCACTAAAGCAAATTGAGTGTACTTGTATAAAAAAATGTTTACGAATTATATCACAATTTCGAAAAACCCTGCACCTTATAAAAATTAAATACAGCAACAAGTTAAGAAAATTAACAATCTCAAGCGGGAACCAATTTTGTAATCGGCTTTACAATTGTCACCAAGGCAGCTAATGATGACAATGCACCTAATGTACCTACTGCACTGGGACTCAATTTAGTAAACCCTAAAGCAGTCAATGGAATGAACAAATCACAAGAGTTTTTCAATGTGTCAATGAATACATCTTTATGACAATTCAGGAGTATCAACAAATGTTTGATACTTTCATTATATTCAAATCTCATTGAACTATTCAACAATTCTGATGGTCTAAGAAATGATGTTCTATTTGCTTCTAAAATATGGTAGATTTCATAGAAATCTCTTGCTAAATTGGCAATAATGGAAAAAAGCCAGAATCTATTAGCAGTACGATTCCAACTATCTGAATCTGTTTTCAAGAAGCCACTCTTTGTTAGCCAGACTATATGGTCAGCATAAAGATATAATGCATGTGCCAATTTGCTTGTTGTTAATGTGATTCGTAATACTGGGTCCTCTATGAGTGTTGTGTTCAATGCTGTATAGCATATGTCTACACATCTTCCCATACGGAGTACTGAAATAAAAAGCAAGTATTTTAAAGATGTGCTGATACTTTCGAAGTTTATGGCATTACCTGTTGCCTTATGTAACTATTTGCTCATTATAATTCAGTAAATAGTTTTGTTCTGATAGTTATTTCAAAGGACATTAATATCTTACTTTTTCTGAAAGAACTAAGCGTTAATTCCAAATTCTTGATCCGATCCACGGAATATTTGTTCGCATTTCTCCTCTCTAATTGATGCCATACTAGTCTGCTTGTGTACTGAAACAATCTGCGATTGGGTAATTAGTACGATTGGGTAATTATGTTGACAAATTAACAATACTATGTAGTTACTATATAGTAATGGTGTTTATTATGGTAGATTTTATTTAACACAGAAAAATAACACAAACCTAGCTAGTTTATCTCTTCCATTAGACTGATTGTTCACTTGAATGATAACATCCATTTTAAAGTATATTGTATATGATAATTTTACTGGTTCAACGGTTTTTAAACTACATAAAATTACAAATGTGAAAATCCTAGATGTAATGCGAAAACAAACAACAAAGTGCAAAGCACAGATAACTGGTGCAAAGTTCGCGCATTCCATTGAATGACATATGTATGACAACTTTTTTTATAAATAGTTTTGGCTTGGATATAAGTCCTTTGAGCCATGTCTTCGTTTAATTATCGAGATTCTCAGTAACATTTGGCATTGTAGTTCTAAATTCTAATACATTATAGGAAATGAAACTATTTTTCCGGATTTAAATCGCGTATATTTGGTTTTTCAAACAAACCGACGTTTCGGGCCCTTTACAGGTTCCATGGTCACGGTTTACTGAGGGGTAGTCTTCGACCAGTTATGTCTAATATTGATGCAAACCACCTTATTTTTTCACTGTACTTACAATAGTAATTAATTAAATACCTTATTTTTAATTTTACAAAGAAAACATTCCAATTTACGCTACATTAAATTTTACAAATTATTTTATTGAATGAATTTTTATTAAGTTCAATTTATTATTAATTAATAATACAAATTAGAATAAACTAAAACATATTAATTAGTACTGCAGTTTTATGTCTGTTTGGGATTTTTCATTAGAGGAAATACTGGATCCCAAACTGGTGGTACTGAGAAACCATCTTCCCTGTTGAAATTAGGATGTTTTTTAATTTCAATGGCCTCTTGCAGCATCCTGTGTAGATAACGGACTTCTTTTGAAAGGACCTGGGGTTTGTCAAACTTCATTGAATGTGTAGGTTTAACCATGACATGCTCGCAGACTGCAGACTTGTTTACGCGAGGGTGTTTGACATCAGCTATATGTTCTTTGGCGCGGTGAGAAATACTTCGCTGTGTTTGTCCAATATAAGAGAGACCGAACTCACAGTCAAGCATGTAAACTCCTGCATCCTGTAAGGGGATGTTACATTTCACGCGTCTCAGGAACTGAGAAATCTTCCTCAGGGGCTTGAAATAGGTCTTGATAGATGCACGCCCGAGGACTCTTCCGATCTTATCTATAACATCTCTCACGTAAGGTAAGAAGGCAGGTCTTCGCTCGACTGTTGGTGGTTTCACACGGGGTCTGCGGCATTTACGTGGAATCTTCAACTTAGGACTTGTAGGTCTTGCTTTATATGCTGAAGTTCCCGTGCCAGATGATTACTGTCGCAGACACCATGTGCTCTCTGAAACAAACATTTGCCCACGGTAGCTAACTGGCTAGGATGGTGATGGGAATTACCATTGAAACACCTATCGTATGGGTTTTCTTTCGAAATACAGTATGGCCTAAGGTGTTATTAGGATTTCTTTTAATTAAAACAGCTAATAAAACTAAAGTACCACAATTCTCTTGTTCCATAGTAAATTGGATCTTACTACTAAAAGAATTAAGATCGTCCAAGAAAGAAGGTATGCTATCTTTAGTTAATATTGTGAAAGTATCATCAACGTACCGTTAATATTAGACGTAACTGGTTGAAGACTATACCACCTCAGTCAATCGTGACCTTGGGACCTGTAAAGGGCCCGAAATGTTGGTTTGTTTGAAAAAACAAATATACGCGATTTAAATCCGGAAAAATAGTTTCATTTCCTATGTGTAACAATCGCGAAAACCTAAGAACTCTATATCTAATACATTATGTTTTCACTTTCTCTTAAATAACTTAGTTCACTTATTTGGGTTTATTAAATAGTCTTTTTAGCGGCAGGAGTCATGTTTTACTTTCACTTAAATCACATTATTTTCTATCACTTTGAACAATAACTTTGAATTCGTAATTAGTGGAATTTTCAGGATAAAGTCTTTTGTAATTTGGTTTAAAATAAGGAATATAGTCCTACTCGTAACTTTCTTCATCACTATTTCTTTCTTCGTTTTTTCTTCATAACATACCCGAAACAAAAATAATCTTTGTAAAAACTGTACTCGTAACTTATAATTTGTAAGTCAATGTCGTAACTTGAAAAACCCGCCATTTTTTTGTATGATATGGTATGGTGACACAACAAACAGGACTCACACATATTAAAAAAAAAAGTTAATAACCTAGTGGCTTTTAGCTAAACAAGTTTATTTTATATTTCTCGCTAAATAAAAACTTTAAAAGACATTTCGAAACGACGAACATGTGCCTTCGAAATTTATATACGTATATACATCCTCTAATCTTTCCAATTTTTCGGGACTTTTTCCGGAAAAATGTCCACTATTTCAAACTTTTCGGAAAGTTACCCAACAGTAAGAAATGGCAACTTTGTTTTGTGTCTTAGTGTTGGGATTCGCTCTGACCGTTTGGAGGGAAAAGTGTCGTTTTTATTTTGACTTTCAATTATTTTGTGAAGTCTAGTTTAAAGTGGAATAGGACAGTGCTATTGTGCCTTAATCGAAGATTAAAACGCGAAATTATACGAATCTCGAACTAAAATACCCGTATCGGCCCGTTTTAAGGAATCCCGAGTCAATCCAAGCACGCCGCCTCAAATTGCCTATCCTCTTTGTGGCGGCCATATTTACAGAAACATATTTAAATTTCATGTTTAGGCTGATGGCTTTGCCAAAGCCTTAATAAATTAAAAAAAAAATTTATGTTGGTATCCAAGCAATGCGCAAATAACCAATAGTACGTTAATTGATAGGACCGAAGATAGTTACAGTTGTCAAAGCCATTATGCCAAAATGCCAATTCAAGCTCGATTCCTTCCGTTCCGCCATGTTGGGTTAGGCGTTTTTTATAGTTTGTGAATAGTGCGTCGTCGATGTAATTTCTACGATTTTCTTTTGAGTTGTGAAAGTGGATTTGATTGCCCTGTGGTAGTTAAAAGTGTGGCGTTTTTAAGTGCAAAGCGAAGTGACTTTGTCGTTATTTTGTTTGTGGTAAGACTTACACAGCAGCTAACTTTTATCGTGCGGTGATCTCATTGTTTTCTGGAACAAAGCGACATTTTGAAGTGACGTGTAATGTTGTGCATTTCAGATAGTGGTTCGTCGTACTGAGCTTTCATGATTGGATTACCGCGTAGCGATAGAGATAGAGATCGAATTACGGTGAAAATTCGTAACATGAAGAGAAGTTCGTCGAGAGATAGCATGCCGCGTTCGAAGCGTACTCGCAGTAGCATAGGCAGGTACGATGACAGCTCTGATGAGCGTGTCACTCCAGAACGAGTGCGCCGCCGGGTGCGCTCGCCGAGCCCCCGCGGCCGGTACGTGTCGCCACATCGTGAGGAATACGTACGCTCTCGGGAAAGAGAGGAATCAGTGCGTCCATACTACAAAGTGCTGTGTGTCAGCGCCTTGCACCTCAAAGCTTCCGATGAGATCATCAAGGATACTCTTTACAGAGAATTCAAGAAGTTTGGAGACTTCAGCATTAAAATTTCGCATGAGCTAGATGAACGAGTGGCGTATGTTTGCTTTAGAAATGCTGAAGATGCCAGAGACGCTAAGCACGCTAAGCCAAGAATTATACTGTATGACAAAGTGGCTATAGTGGACCCTGTTTATGAACCAGTCAGGTCAGAGTATAGGAGCAGGCCTAGAAGTATAACTCCACCTGATTATGAACGTCCTTATTCTTATACTTGGTCTCCAGTACCTGAGAGGCGCAGACCACCAGATGAAAGAGCCTATGGGATTCCGCCAACAGTGCCACCACATCATAGAGATTTCCGCCCTCCAATGCATGAATATCCTATGGCTGGGCCTCACGGGCCCCCAATGCATCATAGACCACCTATGCATCACCCTCCACATCCTCATTACATGCCACGTCCGTATATGCCACGACCCCATCATCCACCTTTTGAGAAAGTTGAAAACAAAAAAGACAAATTCCCTAACTACTTACACCACGTACAGCCTGAAGATGATCCTCTTGCTACTAGAACACTTTTTGCTGGTAACTTAGAAATAAACATATCAGATGAGGAGCTTCGACGCATTTTTGGTCGGTACGGCATTGTGGAGGACATTGATATTAAACGTCCACCCCCTGGGACAGGAAATGCCTTTGCATTTGTAAGATACCAAACACTTGACATGGCTCATCGTGCCAAGGTAGAGCTTTCGGGTCAGTATATTGGCAAATTCCAATGTAAAATTGGGTATGGTAAGGCAACCCCGACCACCCGTGTGTGGGTGGGTGGTCTGGGACCTTGGACTTCAGTGGCTCAACTTGAAAGAGAATTTGATAGATTTGGGGCAATCAAAAAAATTGAATATGCAAAGGGAGAGCCACATGCCTACATATTGTATGATTCAATAGATGCAGCTCAGGCTGCAGTAAAAGAGATGAGAGGCTTTTCTCTAGGTGGGCCAGACAGGCGTCTTCGCATTGATTTTGCTGATGTTGGCAATGGTGGGCCATTCAGACCAAAACCTTATGCACCACCACCAGTTGGTGAAGATGGGCGTCCTGCCGAGGGATATGAAGGCTATGAGGGAACTTGGGAAGAAGGTTATGGTTATGGGGGTTATAGAGGAAGAGGTGGTCATCGTGGTCGTGGTCGAGGCATGTATAGAGGTGTATATCATGGCACTGGTGATTATCGCGATGAGGAGTGGCGCAGAGCGCCATTGGACAATGAATATGACGGCCGTGTGCGGCGCTCCGGATCACGCGAACCAGGTGTAGACCGATCCAGATCTCGCTCACCGCGACGCCGTTCCCCTGATAGCGACTCGGATGGATCCCCTCGCAGAACAGGTGGCATGCTTGCATCGGCAAGAACTCTCCCTGAAGTCGTACGCAAGGCTACTACCATATGGAATGGTGCTCTCATATTGAAAAATTCTTTGTTCCCAACTAAATTTCATCTTACTGATGGAGACTCTGAAATCATTGACAGTCTTATGAAGGATGAAGATGGAAAAAAACAATTGCGGATCACGCAAAGACTGAGGTTAGATCAGCCCAAACTTGATGATGTTCAGAAGCGTATTGCAACATCCAGTTCACATGCAATCTTTTTGGGAGTAGCTGGATCTACTGCATCTGTCACCAATGATGATGCAAGTATTCAGACAAGGCCGATGAGAAATTTGGTATCCTACTTGAAGCAGAAAGAAGCAGCTGGAGTAATATCCCTTCTGAACAAAGAAACAGAGGCCACTGGTGTACTGTATTCATTCCCTCCATGTGATTTTTCTACAGAACTTTTAAAGAGAACTTGCCACAACCTAACAGAGGAGAGTTTGAAAGAGGATCATCTCGTAATTGTGGTGGTGCGTGGAGGTTCAGCTTAAATATTATATATAACACAGTAACAAGGATTGTATAGATTTGTATTGAGTTTATTGTTAGAATTAGTTTTTATAAAGCTTCCCAATGTTTATCATCATTTTACATTCATTGTATTACATGTTTATTTGTGACGTGTAGTGTTGTATGGTGAGGTGTATGTAAACACAAACTAATTATGTGACTGTTTCAGTTAAGTCATAAGTTTTAGTGCAAGTGCTGTGTTAGTGCACAGTTGTAGTGCAAAGCAATAATTATTGCACATATATTGTAGTTAGTTTTTGCTAGTTATTCAGGAATAAAAAGTAAAATTTCATTAAGTGTATTATGATGGCAAAACTTGAGTTATAATGATAGTGTATATCTTATTCAGTGTATGTTAGGTGATGTGTAGTGTAAGTGTGTGACTCAAATAGATAATTTCTTCATATGTTGTAGTTTTTTTACACCTTGTGAGTAAATCAAGTGCTGTTTGTACCAGTGACTACTATGTGAGTTAATGTGACCTCAGCAATACTTAATATTTGAAAATTGTTCCAAAGACACGGGAAATTTATTTATGGGGGTTTGTGCATCAAGAACAAAAGAGTAAATTAGTGAGTGTAATGGTCACAGAAACTGAAAATGATGGGTGGTGCTAGTGAAGTTTTAAAACAGGTTTAAAGCAGAAGTGTTCAGTGATTTGGGGAGCTAATATGCTGATGAATATCTGTGATAACTTGAACAACATATCATTATTATTATCACATTAAGATGGTTGGGAAAAGTGAAACATTGAAATACAATTGTCTAGTCTTTTTAAAAGGGAACATTGTAAAATTTGTTGTTTATATACAGTAATTGAAAGCAATAATTTTACAAATTGGTACAGTCATGAGAACCTCAATTTGGTACCTATAGCAATACTTTAACCATAACTTGTTCGTTATATGGAAGAAGTGGAATACCTAAAGCATGGAAACGAAGAAGTGGAGGTCTGTGGTAAGCTGGTAGTCTCTCAATTTTCGGTAAGCCTTGACAAGAACCATCAGCAGACGACGAACTTGTTTTTCCGCCTAATATCATGTGTATGTTGCAGTGTGTAATAAATTGTATTTGCATCCTATCTGGAACGTCAATTTTGCTGTTTACTGGCCATAGCCCTTAACACTGATTTATTAAATAGCATTCAATCTATGGAGTAGGTATTCGAAATTGAAAGACTACCTACATTGTACAAAACTGGTAAGTATTTACATACTGTTGAAGTATGCCATCATCATTTTCTCATCATCGATCCATTTTATACGTCCCACTGCTAAGCAGGGGTCTCCTCCCAGGCGAGGGCTTAGAGCATAGTGTGCTACGCTGTCCCAATGCGGGTTGGGGATTTCACACGTTTAACGACGGTTGTGAACCTTCTTCGACGTGCAGGTTTCATCACGATGTTTTCCTTCAACTAAAAGCTCATGGTAAATTTTAAATAAAATTTCGCATATAAATTCCGAGAAACTGGTCTGGATCTGGATTTGAACTTATGGCCTTTGCTTGAGAGGCGGTAGGCAAACCATTTAGCTACCATGGCCGTATGAAGTATACCAGCATGTGAAAATACATGAAGTGAGTGACGACCTCCGTGGTCGAGTGGCGCGCACACCAGTTTTCATGGTGTCACCATCTCTGAGGGCCCGGGTTCGATCCCTGGCCGGGCCAATGTAGAAAAACTAACTATTCTATATTGTCTCGGGTTTGCTACCGTCGTTGTTTCCGAATTCCATAACCGTAGTGCTTTAGTTACATTGGGATCAGGGGGAGTCTACTCTCGATCTCCGTCCGAAACAATTACTGTCAAATAAGTAATATTCGACAAAATTAAAAGACAAGTATCCAGTATGAAGCTTCATTCGCATCACGCGTCTTTTCATTTGGTCAAGTATTGCTTATTTGGCAGTAATTGTTTCGGACGGAGATCGAGAGTAGACCCCCAGAGCAACGTATGTGATGTTTATGTTTTTTTTAAATCAAAACCTCATAAGAATACCTCTGAAACTTCTGAACGATTTTCATGATTACAATTCTTTTTCGAGATTTTTCGTTTTCAAGAAAGCCTATTTTTATCTTGATAACTTGTTACCCTGAGATGATTTATATATCTATGTAAATAAATCTACATCCCATGAAAAATTTTGGACAGCCTTGTTGACTTCAATAATTTAGTTTAATCATTATTTAAACTTATTAATAATATTCCAATTTCTCCATCATAGGTACTGCAACCGTCAACATAGTTTTCTAAACGTGGTAGGTTTGTGTGTCGAATAATTTAAATCTGTACTTCTTTCTGTGATAAAGTGACTAAGAAATGTGGAAAATAATAAAATATCATCCCAATAATTACTGTCGTTTATCATTTGTTTTGCTAGATAATTCATCCTTTCTAATTGTAAATATCAATTAATCATGCTTATGTATTAACATCTGTTCGGGAACTTCTAAGTAGGCACTTAATTATTAATGGTATAATTAGTCAAATGGTAATAACAAAATCTATTTACGTATAAAGCAGGGTTTTTTTAGCCTGTGATCCATGGACCCCTAAGAGGTCCGTGTAATGAACGCCGGAGGTTCGTGGCGAGCCTACCTAACGTAATGGAACCGCAACCGTCACGTTAACTGTTCTTAAGTAATTAAGTTACTTTAATCGCAAACAATATAAGCTAGTAAAAGCTAAACCTAATTTTTTTTATCAAAGGGTCCGTAGCCTCTGACATTTTGACATGAGTCCACGACTAGAAAAAGGCTAGTATAAATCGTAATACTTTTACTACCTAATAAATAATTCTTCAGTACAGTTCTTTATGAGCGAGAGCTCGGAATTGCATACGTAGTGGTATTTGTGTGTTTACGGAGATTCTAAATATGAATTTTCATTTTTCTCGTATAATAATAGTTGGTAACGAGAAAGCTTGTAGCTTCCTTTAATAATATATTGATTATATTATAATTCAAATATTTGATCTATAACGACAATCTTTGTTGTGAACATAATATCATTCGACATTAGATACTTAACGCTGAAAGTAAGAAAATAGCGTAAAAAACCCAACGATATCTATGTACGTTGGAAAAAAAAAATTATATATTCCTTTATTCAGAAGACTTCAAAGAACATGTCTTTACTCGAGGCCTATTTTAAAATTTTCAATCCATAGACTAACATTTAAATCTTTTGAGGACTTTTTCTTTTTTATTGGCTTTATTGCTTCTGCAACCTATTTATATGTGAAATCATAGATGAGAGCATGAAGTGTATGAAATCAGACAGTTTTACTTTAAAAGTATTAAGTAAATAGTAATTATTTAATATATTTTTTTATAATAATAGCGTACACGACTCGTTAAGTCTGAAACGAAAATAATAATAAAACGTTTATTTTGAGTACAATGGATTCAGACGAGAACAAAAATAAGCCGTTAGGTTCAAGTTCAAACAATACCAAAAACGGCAAAGAAAGCAAACAATATAAAGATTGGTGTGAGTTATATTCTCTAAGGATTTTCTAAACATAAATAATATATAAGCGCCAGTAGGGCAAGCACGACAGGGCGCGACTTGCGCGAGAGCGACATACAAGTGCGAGATATTGCTTCTATTATCTATGCGAAAATAGCAGTATCTCGCGCATTATGTCGCTCTTGCGCATTATATCGCTCTTGCGCAAGTCGCGCCCTGTCGTTCTAACCTACAGACATAACCATTTAAAACTAAAAACAGGATTTTGGAGAGGAGATACCTCTCCAGAAACCGAGGAACTAGATAAACGGTACTTTTGGCATATGAGTGAAGTGTCTTCAATGCACCATTAGGGGCATTGAAGACACTTCAACCTTCAAGTCCTTGTGAAACCAACCAGTATTCAAACATATTTCTATACCGAGAATGAATCTTTAATATTAGCCATTATTATATTTATATTACACTGGCGCTGGCGATTTGCGAGCGGTTGCGGCGTTGTCGCTGCGTGCATGCGACGAGCATGCCGCGCTGTCGCATTTTAACTGCCTCTGTGGCCGAACGGTTCCTATGCTGGTCTGTCACGCAGAGGTCCCGGATTCGATTCTCGAGCCGGGAGAAATATTTGTGTGGCCGACATTTATTTCTCTCTCGTGAGTTTGGGTGTATTTTGTGATGGTCTATGTGTGTGTCCATGGCACCCGCGATGCAGGGTTTCCCTAGTGCGGGATTATGAGTGTGTCGTTGAGCGTTGAATGTGCATCGCTTTCAAATCACTCTTAAATCGCTAGTGTCATTAAGGCTCTTAAAATTGTCAATGCTTTTAAGTAGTCCAATAATATTACTGGTGCCAATTATTTACGCCGCTAATACCTAATTATGATTTCAATGTCTACTTCAACAATGTCCAGCTTCCCGTAACACTCGACGACTAACCGAAAGTTTCGATGCGTTCCTGAAAGCCATGAAGATGGCCAATTTGGAGCAACATCATTCCTCTTTAATGACAGCCAACAAGGAGATGTCACCTCGCGAAAGACGACGAAATCAGGATTCCAAGAGAGAATCGTAAGTAGATACGATAGGAATGTTGTAAAGAAAGTTATAGTAACAAAATAAACATTTAAAAACAGACTCCAATAGTAGGTAGGTACATAGATATGAGTATCGTTGTTTAAAAACAAACGCTTAATTGAAAATCTGGTATGAATAGTAGACAGGAACGTAATTAATAGCCGATTTCAATCCAATCAAATTCATAGGCTGCAGCGGTTGCGCGGCGCACATCTCTAGTCTCGGTCTTTCTCCAAAATGGACTTCGCGCGTAGTGGATTTCTTGTTGATCGCAGTGAGGCTGCAGTCTCTGTATTCACGGGCCGCCACGCGCCGCGCCAATTTGTGTAGGCCTGCTCATTCGGCACTCTTCCCACGGCGCGTTGGCTCAAGCTCGCGTAGCCAGGCCCGTGAGTGCATGGGCCTTGGGAAGCCAGCATCAAACCTACATAGTGGAACGCTACAATATGCATGATTGGTGGCCGGATAATCGGATGCTTATTTACCTACAATTCGGTGACTCGCTAACGGAATTCGCTTTCGTATTGAAAAAATCCTGCGTTACAGTGGGATTTGACGAAATTATTAAGCATAAAATTAAATGATAATACTTAAACGTTAAGGCTCAATTTACGTTGGCGCGGAATGAATGGAAGCGACTTCTTGCAATCATAGCTTATTCAACTTTGTGAATTGTGTAAAGCACAAAGTTTACTAGAAACAGTTGCGCATCGTCCTGAGAATTCTCGCGCGTCTCGGTAATTCCCGCAGCTACCGTATCATATATAGCTTGTACGTTAGACAATTTACATGAAGTTCATCATGCTACGTAGGTAATACAATTTCTTTACAAAAATTCGTTTCGATACCGTTCCGCGGCAATGTATAATACTGAGCCTTAAAATGTTATTTGTGATTTTATGTATTAGCTACGTACATTTAAATTAACTTTAATCACACATAGAAAATGAAAATTGTAAATTGTTCGTACTTCAAGAAAAACAATTGTATTTTTAGTAATTTTTACCGATACCATCGTTTAAGTTTAAATTTGAGAATTCTCGGTGTTCACAGTACTGAGATCCAGTTATCAGAGATATTCCTGGTCGACATTAGCGAGGCGAAATAGTACGTATTTAAAATATAAAAATGTACGCTATTCACGACATCACGAGTTAAAAAAAAAGAAAAAATATAGTTTAAAAAGTCGCTTCCATGTTTCGACAGCATTCACTGGAAAAAAGTGAACGTTATGTATATAAGCACCCAAAATATCCAACCACGAGTCATGATTTTATCCCTTATTTACTTAGGGAGGTGAGGAGGTAGCTTATTCATGACTAAAACAAATTTATCATAGGCCAAGTGGCCCGAGCAACTGGAATATAAACCAAATCAACCGCATCAACACGATCGTATCAATGGTCCCAGACGAGATTATTTATCGACATACGGACTATTCCGTAAGGATCTATGATACTGCGCTCATGTTTATTGATGTCTCGGGTAAATGTGTCTTTCTCTATTTTGAAACCCCTTTTAAGCTCAATTTATATTGCGGCAGAACGGAATGGAAGCGAATTTTTGTAACGATATTGTACATAGCGTAACGAACTTTATGTTCATTATGTCAATTTTGTTGTCAACTAACTAAAACCCGGCTAAGTGACAAATGGTCAAATAACCGTTTTAAATAGCAAAAAAATTGACCACAAAATTCTCTTTTAAAAACGGTTAAAATTAGTTAACGTGTTCAGCTTATCGTAACGTACCCTAAGGGCGCGTGTACACGCTAAGAAAAGTCACCGTGCCTATCCAAATAATTCGTGTCGTTTCTACACACGAACTGTGTACACTGCCTCGGTACAGGACAGTCTACCCCCGACTCGACGCGCTCTGCCGCTATTGTATGGGGCTCATTGTCAGTAAACGAACGTTTATGCGCGTGGATTGGTGGTGTAAAGTACCACTGTTGCACCATTAATTTTATTGCGACTAATAAAATGCATGATTTACTTATAAGTTTAGTAGAGGAATGCAATCACCATTTTATTTTGCTTAGTAGTCAACATATTTCTTTCCACAGTCGGTAGTAAAACGACAGCTACCTGGGGGGCTACTCTCGATATACATCCGACATCCTTCCGAAACAATTACTGTCAAATAAGTAATATTCGACAAAATTAAAGGACAAGTGTCCAGTATGAAGCTTCATTCGCATCACGCGTCTTTTCATTTGGTCAAGTATTGCTTATTTGGTAGTAATTGTTTCGGACGGATGTCGAACAGAGATCGAGAGTAGACCCCCTGCAACAGACACGACATATTTTCGTGGCTACATCCGACATAGTTCTTGTCGTGTACAAAACGACGTTTTCTGTAGCAGACACGTCGAATTTCTTAGCGTGTACACGCGCCGTAACGATGCATAGCTGAAATGTCATTAAACAATTTCAATATTCTGAAAACGGGGTAGTGGTTTTTATGATATCTAAGAAAACATATTTTGTCACTTAGCCGCGTTTTAGTTACCGGACGGCAGACTTGTGTAACGTATTGTACAAACTAGATACGAGCCAAAAACCACGTCGCGCGCCTTCTGCGGAATTCTCGTGCATTCGCGAGAATTGCTCAGCTGTCGTCGGCGACGCGTGGCGAATCCGTGGGAAGTGGCTCGAAGGCAGGCGCAGTGTGACGTCAACCGTCGACGAAATACTATATCCTCGGAATGCTCGAGCATTCCAGCGAACGCGCGCGCCATCTCGCGCAACGAAGCGAAATTGACGCTTCCGTTCCGCCGCAATGTAAATTGAGCCTTACTTTAGGCGATTTTCAGTGTGCTAAGAGAGCTATTTTATTCACACATTAATCTCAATTCGATGTGAAGTGATGCAACTGCCTTTTCTTTGTACCTACATTATGTGTGTAGAAAATTCCCTTAAGCACACCAAATCAGCATAAATTAATCGATTCATGGACAGTAGCAGTGATTACTGTAAAATTCAATATCAGATGATAGTATGTACCCCATTTTCGGTATTTGAATCTCAAAAAACCATTTACGGACATTAGAGTGCTACTGTTTTTCCATTGAGAAGTATCAACAACGTACATAAAAAATTCAATGATTTACATTGAATATTTTACATCAAATCAGCAAGAAGCGAATCAATATAAGCACTACGTATTATAAGTACTATACAGGATTATTTGTAAAATATTAACAACCTCACAGGACTACACTTTTGTTCCATTAATTTTATTTAATAATTTGTCAATTTTACTTTCGAGTAAAAATAAAGATATTTAAATAGATCGCTCTAAACGATGATAACTCTGTACAAAATGCTGAAGCGCGGGTGGGGGATTCTTGCACGTATAAACTTAGTAAATACAGATCTAAAACGTGTATAATAGTACAATATAACTTTAAAAGTCTATTTTTGGTAAATTTATTAGGTTTTGATAAAAGTTATTGAACAAAAGTTCTTGTTTATGATGTCAGTAATATATCCTGCGAGGTTGTTAGTACATATTTCACAAATAACCCTGTACCTATTCCTATGTAGATAATTCGTAAATTTTCATTCAGATTTGCTTTGTTTCCGAAAGACATCAAATCAGAAAACTCACTTTTTGCAAACTTTTTGGCTCGCCGTTCAAGTGAGTCGTAAGCAAGTAGGCAAGATATAAAAATTTCAACGTCCAACACCACAAAAAATAATTGAAAACACGTATTTTTTACATTAAATTAACGCAAATAAATAAAAAATAAAAATATTATATATTAATTGTAGTGTAGTTTATACACACTATTCAGAATTGTTTTTTCAAATGCAGTATCACCCCCTGGATGGATCGTTGATGCTAATCAACGCCGCCCAATTGCTTCCGAGGCACCTACCGCCCCCTTTCGACGCTTCAGCGCCCATTGGAGGTGGTAGGAACCACTTTGGGAAATTTATGGCCTAGAAGCTCTAGGTAGTGTGTGTGATGTAAATCTTTGTGTCTTGTCAACTTATGTCTCAGAGTGACGGCCGCAGTGGCAGTGCCCCTCAGATCTTTGCGTTTTAAAGCTTTCAGCGGCACTGTTATGGACACAGACATAGGTATATGTCTGTGGTTATGGATAAGTGTGGCGCTACCACCAGGCTCACGACTTGTTCGCCCTGTCACTTGGTATTATAAAAAAAATAAATTAATTAACTAATTATCTACCTATATTACTCGTTACGTTGGTGTGATTTTCTGCATCGTCTAATCATGGCCAAAGGTTTCACGGACCTATGTGAGGCTTATACAAAAGTGGACCAAGGTGGACCTTCAAGGTTGACGCAAGTTCTCAACTCGTACATCGGAGCCATGGTCCAGGAGATTTTGACCCACAACGGAGACGTGTTAAATTTCTCTGGTGATGCCTTCCTGAGCATGTGGAGGAAATCCTCTGTAGTGAGTATGCAGGATGTGGTGCACACCGCGATTGATTGTGGACTGATCATACAGAAGAATTATGGACGACATCTCACTGATACTGGCATTGTTTTGAAAGGTAAGTTTACGACGATGCGACCTCTTTCATTGTCATTCCTCCTTTTTATTACCTTTTTCTCCGGTTCCTGGCCACTTTCTTTTGAAACTTTGAATTTTTGAATCGTTCTCTAAATCTTTTTCGTCGTTATCATTGACTTACAATTATATGGACGTCGGGTCCGCGCTAAAAAGTGTCCGCACTTGTAAGGCGCTAAAATCGTATACAGAGCGCCAAACTCCGCTTTAGTCTTCATTTGTTCGACTGACAGCGCGATACTGCGATGACATTACAATTTAAATTTCGAATAGGTTGACTTGGGACATTTTTTTCGTGGTTTTTGTATTAGACCCGTCGTCCATTTATTTGTAAGTCAATTGTCGTTATGCTTACTTTGCTTCGTTCCGTCGTCACTCCCACCAAAATTCTCGGAGAGATAAGACCGTACCTTTGTCATGTAAACCTATGTATGAGATACATTGCTGCTTTATAAGCAACTGCTTATAAAGCAGCGATATATCTCATGCGAATACAGGCCCTTTTGGGCCTGTCCTCCTTGTCCTTCACCTTTTCCCCTACTGTTATACCTTCAATAATAAATTCACGTGGATCAAGCGTTACTTTCTATCGTTATTACGCAAGACCCGTGTGATACCTTTAAACACTGGGAGTTTCGAAATCAAACGACACGACTCTATATTTATGAAGTTAGGGGTTAATGTAGGCCTACCTACCTTCCACTTGTTATAATTTTAGAATATTATCCTGTGAGGGTATTTTTTTTAATTCACGTTATTTTAGGTTGTGATTTTTACCATTAACACGAACTACTTTTACTATGGTGATGTCTCGAACGAGAATAAAAGATCAGTTGTTCCATAGATATTAGGTACTATCGAGTATACTACGAGTATCTCCGGCACAATGTATGGTAGACAGCTGAGCCGTTCGTATTTATAGGTAATTAGAATCACGTCTTAAAATATCGTGAACTATAAAAAAACATATCGAGTTCATAGGTTTTCGGAATTGTTACACATAGGAAATGAAACTATTTTTCCGGATCTAAATCACGTATAACTGGTTTTTCAAACAAACCGACGTTTCGGTTTGTTTGAAAAAACAAAAATATATAAACCGAAACGTCGGTTTGTTTGAAAAAACAATTATACGCGATTTAAATCCGGAAAAATAGTTTCATTTCCTATATAAGAAACAGCCTGTATAATTTAATATAATATGGTTAGCCTATGTACGGTCCTACTGCTGGACACAGATCTCTCACATTAAATCGAGGTAGCCTAATGGTTTGATCTACCGCTTCTCAAGTCGAGAGTCGCAGGTTCGAATCCGGTCTTTAATAATAATAATAATAATAATAATAATAATAATAATAATTCATTTATTTGTGGAAACACAGGTTATGTAAAAGCTGACATGTACAAAATACGTATAGTTTGACTGTGTCCGGCCAAACAGTAGGCATACAAATATTAAATACATTCACTCACATGCACTTCGACAGACTAAACTAGGTGTAACATGTTTTGTTTTTCAATAATATTACATGAGCGTGCATACATGGATTCAATAAGTCGGTCAGAATTTAAACGCGATGATAGTTACATGGGTCGATTTTAATGGTAATTAGGATAACGTCCAATGTCAAAAATTAGACAATGAATTTAGGGATTTATCATTTAAAAATTCAGTACATTTTATTAGTCAGTAACTTGTTTAATGGTTTTTAAATAGCATAAGGTTTTCTCTCAGACCTTAGTGCTTCCGGTAAATTGTTGTAAATTTTTAGCGGCATTACAAAAATCCTTTTCTGCATGAAGGTAGTTTTTAGGCTTTCAAACGAAGTTGGTCATATCGTCTTGGTTTCAGAGTTCGTGTGAACAAGCGTGAGTGCATTCGGACATACACGGCAGTTTCGTAGATATAAAGTGAAGGAACAGTCAATCGACAAATTGGTCCGACACATCTTTTTTGTGCCTTAAGAACTGAGTTCACATTAGTTTCGTTGCCCCAGAATATATATTATACCGTATCTAAATATGGACGCAACATAACCATAGTATGCTTGAAGGACCGAGTCTCTATCTACCACTTTGCTAAGCATATATAATGTATATGCATAAGTGTTGAGTTTAGTGCAAATACTCTCTAATTGTGCTTAAAGGATTCCATGCTGCAGTTTGTGCCAAACGTATTGTGATTAATGTCAATGGAAGTTGACTTTATCTTCTGTCTTAAAGTCACATACTCGCTATCTGCATATAATATGGTCGATTTAAAACTGTCTTCTTTCTCGTCTCCTTTACTCGTTACCTTAGCTTGGTCCGTATTTGCCTTACTTATTATATTGTCTTGCACCACTGAGTTTCCGAATCTATGTGCGAAATTTAATTAGAATTCAGTGAAGGAAAACATCGTGAGGAAACTTGCACACATCTTCAAAGCAATTTAATAATGTGTGTGAAGTTCCCAATACGTGTTGGGCTACCGTGGGAACTATAGCCCAAACCTCTCAGGAGGCCTGACCTTGTCGGGAATGGTCAATAATCTAGTACGCGACTAGGTATGTCTAGTAGGTCCTTGGTCAACGTTTTAAAGCACTTTAATTTCTTTTAAATTAAGTTTGTTTAGGTACTCTAAAGGGTCCGTATTTCCGGTTAAGCAATTGATATAGTTATTAGTATAGGATTGCGTATTCAATCTATAGTCTGTCTGTTTTGAAGACGGACTAAAATTTGCAGGTTTGCCAGTTTTCATAAAATTTTAAATATTGTCGTGGTTGTTGTCGACAGTTTTATCGATAGATTGTGAAAGCAGGTAAAATTTTGCTAAAAAGTCTAAATAAATGAATGAATGTTACGACGTTCTAATGATCACTAATGGCATTATTGCCTTCTTCATTCTTATTTTGACAGTTGGTTACTGGTATCGAAACCAATTTTTATTCATATACATTTTGACAAGAACAGGCGGCCTTGGTTGGTCTCTATTGATTTAAAATGAAAAACTTTAAATATTTCCTTTTTGTATTTTTAATAGATATATGGTTCTAAATGCAGTTATGTATGAATGAACTTACAAAAATTGATAATTCAAATGAATTTGTGCCTAGTAGTAGGACGGATAATGGGCTGATGATGATTTAAATGAAACGAGTTCGGCTATTTATTGCACAAGCGTGCCCAATATTCAGTCGATAGTCGATAGAATATCTATCGACTGCAATCGCTAGCCGCATGCAAGCGGGCAATAATTTTGCACAATGAACTGTCATTTTACTCCATCTTCAAAAAAGACAGACTATATATGAAATTTTTTCCTTAGTAAAAGTTGCGATATCAGCGGGCACGTCCCACTTTGCCATGATTGGCGATGAGAACATGTCCCACTACGTGATTGTGGGCCAGCCCGTGTGGGACGTCAAGAGAGCGGAATACATGAGCTCGGCGGGCGATGTCCTTACCTCTGCCAGTGTTTGGATGTATGTGAATGAAACTGAGTATAGTACGCAGTCTTGTGGTGATGGAGTACATACTAAGGTTTGATTTTCTTCAGAATCGATACTTTAGATATAAAATGTAACGCATTGTTACAAGTTTAATGTGTCAAAGTCTCCATTTAATGCTTAGGCTCCACTCACACTAGCGCAGAGTCAAAGCGTCGCGTCGGGCCCTGTTTTACAACTACAACGCCTGGCGACGCGTGACGACGCTCGCATTAGTGCGCCTGGATCAAGTGTGGTCGGCGTCTGAAGCCTCACTGTGCTCAAGTGACGCGCGAAGCCGCTCGACTACATCCAAGCGTCGACGCCCGTTTTCATATTTGCATAACACAAATTTGTACCTTAGTGATGGGAAAATAGAGATGAATATACTATAGGCGAAAAACATGACGCGTTGCGACGCTTCAACTCTGCGCCATTTAAACCATTTATTTACCACACACAGTAATACGTACAGAACATAATAATACAACAATATTGTGGGAACAACAACAGTGCGTGGAGGGAACAGGCTCAGTATAATCCTTGTGGCTGTATGCCTCGCGGTACTGATTTTCAGCCTGACCTTGTTGACACATCGTTTTTCAACATAATCCAATTCAACGATACCATCGCCACGATAAACATCGAATACTAATAATTATATCGGTTGAATTCATTAATAATATTTAATAGATTAATTTAAAAAAAAATGGTATGACTATGACTATGTACGACTAATTTACATGTAATGAACAATAATAACATTATTAAAAAATATATATAAACCAGACAATATTCTCAGTTACACTTACGCTGGCTCGCTGTCTGCTCTGTCTCTAATCAAATCAAATCAAATCAAAATAATCTTTATTTCATAGGTAAGCATTATTACACTTGAAATCGTCACAATGGTTAAACTCTACCGCTCATTCGTAAGGCAGATTCCCCTGAGAAGAATGAGCAAGAAACTCTAGGGGTTGCTCTTTGTAAATAACATTTACAATATTTTTTTTATTTGAAACATCAGATTGAGACTACCTCCATGAGCTAAACGGGTTACTACCACGGATTTTTGTCATCCAAGTACGCAGAAGTTGTATAATAACCTTTAGTATAAAGTTTTTGTTTCACTATAGTTTTAAACCTCGTGAAAGGCAAATTTTGTATATCAACCGGAATCTTGTTATAGAAGCGTATACATTGCCCCTTAAATGATTGTTTGACTTTGTGAAGACGACTATCAAGAAAAGCTAGTTTATTTTTATTCCTCGTATTAATGTTATGTCTGTCACTATTTTTTATAAAGAAATTACTATTCCTTTTAACATAAATTATATTTTCATAAATGTATTGTGAGGCTAGTGTAAGAATGTTAATTTCCTTAAACTTATCTCTCAAAGATACTTTGGGGCCCAGATTGTAAATTGCCCTAACTGCACGTTTCTGCAGGACAAAGATTCTATTGATATCGGCGGCATTACCCCAAAGCAAAATGCCGTATGTCATTAGACTGTGAAAGTAGCTGAAGTAAACCAATCTAGCGGTTTCGACGTCTGAAAGTTTCCTTATTTTTTTAATCGCGTACACTGCAGAGCTGAGCCGTTTTGACAACTTACTTATATGGGGACCCCATTGCAATTTAGCATCTAACGTTATACCTAGAAATACAACTGTATCCACAAGATTCAATTTTTCGTTTCTAACTACAATGTTTGTAACCGTCTCTCTAACATTGGGTAATGTAAATTTCACACAATTTGTTTTTTTCTCATTAAGAAGTAGGTTATTAACAGCAAACCAATCAACTACTTTAGATATAGCATTGTTCACATCGTCATAGGAACATTGGTGCCTTTTAACTTTAAATAATAAGGAAGTATCATCAGCAAACAATACTATCTCATGTTTTATACCCTCCATAAGGCTAGGTAAATCATTAATATAAACTAAAAACAAAAATGGGCCTAGAATTGAACCTTGAGGGACACCCATGCTAATTACAGACCCTGACGATCTCGTACCGTTAACATCGACCCTCTGTACCCTACCACGCAAATACGATTTAAGAAGGTCGAGATCACGTCCCGCCACACCATAATGGCGAAGTTTCCTGACCAGTGTATCATGGTGCACACAATCAAAAGCCTTGGAAAGGTCACAGAATACACCAATAGCATCATGTGAGACTTCCCATGCATCAAATATATGATTAATCAACTCTACACCAGCGTCGGTTGTAGAGCGACCCCGAGTGAAACCAAATTGTTTAGGAGACATTAAATTATTACTATAAAAATGTGCACACATCTGATTTAGAATAATTTTTTCAAATATTTTACTGAGAGTTGGTAGTATTGATATAGGTCTGAAATTGGTGGGGTCAGAAATACTACCAGATTTGAAAAGTGGAATAACTTTACTTTGCTTCATGAGGTCAGGAAAGACACCATCATCAACACATTTATTAAAGACACAGGCTAAGTAAGGCGCAATACAATCAACTATAGAACTAATTACTCTGACTGAAAGACCATCAAGATCAGCAGTATTTTTTATATTTATAGACTTAAAGGCTTTAACAATATCGTTTGGAAATACATGACGGAACCTTAAATTAGTGATACTAACTGCATTATTTTCTTTTAGTAAGGATTCAGCGGCCGTGGGAGATGAATTTAACGAATTAGTAGTCAAAATTGGAATGTTGGTAAAAAAATTTTCAAATATTTTAGCAACTTCTGCGTCTGTGTTTACAATTTTGTCATTAAATCTTAGTTGAAAATCTAAGTTACGAGATTTGACCCTTCCAGTTTCGCTATTTATAATATTCCAAGTCGTTTTTACTACATTCGCGCTGCTTTTTATTTTATTATTAATAAACATTGCTTTGGCTGCCACACAAACACGTTTAAACATTTTCGAATATTTCCTAACAAAATCATTAAAACTGTTACTAGTGTTATAAGTTCTTTCATCGTAAAGATCATACAGCCTTTGTCTACTTTTGTGAATTCCCACAGTCGCCCATTCACTAAATTTCAATGAATTATTAATAGTTATGATTTTGGACTTAAAAACATTATCACGTTCACTTTTCACTATGTTGAAAACTGAATTATACAATTTATTGGGATCGTTAACGTACGGAATGTCAGTTAGTTTAAGCATTACGTTATTTCTATAAGCTTTAAGTCGACCATTATTTATCGGAACACATGTGATATCCTTTTTCGGCATTTTGTCAACAGTTATATTAAAAGTGGCCAATTGACCGCAGTGATCTGAAGTTAATTTATTTATAATAGATTTATTACTAGGTACGGCGTTGGTATAAATGTTGTCTAAACAAGTGGCAGTAGTAGAAGTTATTCTAGTAGGCACCAAAAAAAGATTCACAAGGTTATAACATTGGAAAAATGATATGAGCCTACTGCTAGCACTGGAATCTTCTAATAAGTTAACATTGAAGTCACCACAAACAGCAATATATTTATTTATATTATTTAATTTGGCTAAAACTTCATCTAATCTTTTTTCAAATAGTTCGTAAGATGAATGAGGGGGTCTGTACACGCTTAATATAACAAGCCGTTCAAGCTCTATGCAGGATATCTCTATAGTCCGCTCAATAGATAGGCTCACAATATCTGTACGTTCTTTAAATTTTAAATTATTTTTAATAAGAATTAAGGAGCCGCCGTGAATAGCTTTTTCTCTGCTGAACTCTAAACTAATAAAAAGCGCCAGTGTGAGTAGAGCCTTAATGTTCCTTGCAATACCTTAAAAAACAGAGCCTATACCGAGTGTAGCAGCCAGTGAGCAGTTAAAGAGTTCTAGAAGCTAGGATTATAAGGACTGGAGGAGACACTAACAAGAGCATGGCTCTTAACTATGAAGTATACTTAATACTTATTAATCCTTGGCAATCTGGCGCTAATGTCGGGATGTTTTGTACAGTGCAGCGCAATAATGCAAAAATGCATTTTCGCATGCAACTGCGTCAGAAAAATGCATACAATTCTGATTAGATTTCAATTTTACGATACAAATCATATATCACTGTTTTCCTCGTGAGTAGCCCTATCCGAATATCATATTCTAATTAATAATAAAAACTTACCTAATGCAGTTCTGATGCGGTGAATTTATTTTGCAAATGTTTCTTGCGCCTTCATTAAAGTTGTCAACGTAATTACAACTCATTGCCACTCACAAATCACAATAAGTATTTAACCCTCACATTCAAGTGTCTGGAACATAAATTAGATACTTGAAATAGACCGAGTGAACTCGTCGCAATGTTTGTCTATGTTATATATAGCTCCGATAACGAGACGCCATTAAACGACCACCCGCAGCGAGGGCACTTGAAGGTTTAAACCGGCTTTTTTGCTTCTAACAATGTGTTACAATTCGAACAAGATTCAGTTGCAGCTATCTAGGTAATAAACCTTTGTACTACGTTCACAAAAGTGTCGCGGCTTTGTGGAGCCATGAACGTGCGGTCGTGAAACGCGCGTCGTTTGTGCGTAAAAATTACGCCGCGTGCATAGGTTCAAACGCTACGTAAACATTGCTTTAATGATTTTAGGAAAAGTTCACAGTTTCTTTTTTATTGAATTTTCGTTATTCAATATCATAATACTTTATAATCAAATTACACGGGACTTGCATCAAACAATTACTTACTTCCATAGTATAATGTCACGGGATTATCTTGTGGGGTAAAGCGGCAAATATACAAACCATATTTGTGTAGCAAAAACGAGCGGCTCGTTCTGTGTACCGTTTAGGTTCTCGGGTTTCTCTGAGAGAAAAGTTTAAGGAAACTGGCATCACCGTACCTATATTTACTGAAATATCTTGTATGCTCGTAAAAATATAAGTACATAATTTCCTTAGGAAAGATACCTATGATATTAACCTTATTTCCAAACTCATGGTACCATGATTTAGTTTAACTAAGGTAAACGAATCCTTTTATGGGGAACTGTACATGTTTTTATAATAAGATTCCGAAACATGTATTACAATTATCATTTGCTAAGTTTGCTATTTTAATTGAAAAGACACATTACAAAATTGAAGACTAGGTACGTGTTAGATAAAGATGTATGAAAAGACGACGTGGGTCTAGATTCCACACTTTGATTCAAAGTGTATACCATAGCATTTAGGTTTATTTAAAAAGATCAATCCTTAGCGTTTCTTGCTCGTTCTTCTCAATCAAAATCGAAATCAGCACAGTGAATATGCAGTAGATTAAAAAATTTCACTTTGACAAACGAATATATTTGTTATTATCATCCGAAATGTACGGTACATTTCAGCCGAATTGTATCGATTTATCCACAGACCACATAAATACTTTTCTTCCGTCGATTTATCCTACGTCCTTGTACAGATTATCGCTGGGCATATTATTCCTAACCGACACAAGTAAGAAAGAAAGAAAGAAAGAAATTTGATCATGTGCTTAATATATAAACAATTCCAACATTGTTATTTCTTTTTCTATAAAGGTATTGAGTATCGGAGTTGGCTGGAAGAGAGTGGATAAAATTGATTACACTTATGGACCTTCGTCAGGTAAAGACATTATTTTATTTTTCAATTTTTTTCATATAACTGGGGACTAGACCTCTAGGTTAGTTGAATTGGTCTGTGAAATTACTATACTCACGAATTATTATAAAATAATAATAATAATAACGCACACACTCACAGCCCCGCACTAGAGAAACTCTGTGTCACGGGTGCCATGGACACACACATAAACAACCACAAATTACACCCAAAGTCTCGAGAGAAATAAATGTAGGCAATACAAATAATTCGGCCTGGGAATCGAACCCGGGACCTCTGCGTGGCAGACCAGCATGGTAACCGTTCGGCTACGGAGTCAATTACATAATAATAAAGCATAGTTAGCCCATATATAGTCCTACTGCTGGGCGCCTATGCCTCTCACAATAAGAGGGCTTGCCGCTTGCTTGGGCTACAGTCGCACATAAATTCCGAAAACCTCGGAGATGGAAGCCCGGTTTCGAACATACGACCCTCTGCTTGAGGTCAAACCGTTAAGCTACCGCATCGAGTATTTACCCAGAAATACTCTATGGGCTACCACGTATTTATAAATTTTGAACAAGATCGGATACATTACACAGGTCTGCAAAAAAGGCGTTATGTATACTTTGGTGCTGATTTTTTCTATCACGTGAGGTTTATGTGCAAAAAAGTGAAAACTTTTAAGAAAAATGAACAAGGACAATTTTTTTAACTAGTCATGTTTGTCTTGATTTTACTATTAGTTAACTACACAATACAACATATACCTAAAAGTGTAGGTACCTACTATAACTTGATTATGAGTCTTTGTAGTAACGTTTTCGCGTTCCGTCAAAATTTCATTTTGGTGCTTTTCGTCAAAGTCAAAGTCAGTCAGTTAACCGACTTTAAAAAAAGGAGTAGGTTCTCAATCCAATTTTTTTCTTTTGTATGTTTGTTTCGCGATTATAATTTGTGAACCGATTTCTATGATTATTTTTAGTTAAAACTAAATGTATGATGACTAATATCCAACAATAGTCTACAACCATGTCAACGTTGCATCGTCCTTCATATCTTCATTCTATTTCTTTAACGTCTTGATGCAAAAGTTTTACTTGATAAAAAAGTAATAATTCAACATTATGTACAATATTTGGTGATGCAGTATAGACATGAGCGCCGCGCCGGCGCGCCGCCGCACAGTGGGCTGGAAATTATCGCTAGGGGACTTAGGGGTACTTGAAAATTAAACAACTCCTTTTATAAATATGATGATGTATATTGATTTTACTCACCAATACAATCATAAACTGTCATGTGGATATTTTCGATTGACACGGTAATTTTATAGTTATATGGCTCTGAAACTTTTTTGTATGGAGAAAAAGTGAAATTTAGGTATATCTCTGAAATCTCAATTTTTTCAAAAAATAATGTATTGATCCATACAGGTGGAGTCTCGAGTTACCATAAAATATATATCTGCACTTGCGGTTCAGTGTGAGTTTTGTAATATAACGGTCTGGGTTGAAAATGTTATAAATTAAAAAAAAAATCTATTCCACACCCATGGTGTAAAGAAGAAAGCATTTGTCATAGTTTCATCCTCAGTATATTTACATTGACTTTTGAAATTCTTTTGTTGTATATTATTATTAAAAATAAAACTTCCCTAGAAATAGAAAAAGTATTATATCATGCTAAGAAGTTCCAAAATTCAAATAGGATTAACAAAGCACTAAATAAAATCAAAGAATCGTGGTGTATAATAAATTAACAAACCAAGCAGAACAAAAATTTGACAGAAACATATCGAGTTTAAAAAAAACGACAGACGATGATGACGACTGACAGACAATACTCAAATAGCAAACGCTTTTAACAATTTCTTTCAACAATTGCATTTCAAATATCACCAAGCTTACCTAAGCTTTTGTCTGTCGATATTGACAAAAGTAACATGTTGTTTGAATGAAGAGAAAGACCATGTTCAATTTTTAAATTGCTAACAATTGACATACGAGAATTGCTCAAAACTGTAAAACAAATTACTATAAAGCAAAGCCAGTAGACTTTGCTTTACAGTAATTTGTTTTAGTAAAAGATATTAAACAACTTAGATATAAAAACAGTGAACTTTTAATATTAGAAGATGGCTATCTTCAACATATTATATTGGAAGTGCTGAACAATTGTTTACAACAAGGCGTATTTCTAAATGAATTAAAAATAGGGCGAGTGATATATGTCTTCAAGAAAGGAGAAAAACACGATCGGAACAACAACAATAGACCAATTTGTATACCACCATGCAAGTCAAAATTTTTTTTGACAATTATCAAGAATAGAATGGTGGACTATTTTGGGTCAGAATCAATCTACATGGACAAGCAGTATATGGAACTGATCGATCAACAACAGGTTAACAAATGTTACCGATTATGATTGTCATAAACGCTCAAGTGTCTTTTGCGACCTGTATAAGGCGTTTGATTGTTTACGACATGATATATTACTTGACAAATTAAACTACTGTGGTGTCCACTCTAATGCATTGCAGCTTATTGATAGCTTTTAAAAAAAATCTGTACTAAATACTAAATTGTAAGGAGATATTGTTTGATTAGACAATTAAGTGACATTTTTTATAGTTTATATGGAGTGTTATAGAAGATCCACAAATTGTACCTTGACATGCTAAATGTTGCGTGATGTGAGTTGATAAAAAAATATTATTATTATTATAGAATAGTTATTTTTTTATTGACACTACGAAATATATTAAAAATTAATAAAATATATTTTAAATTACTCGGTCTCAGGCTGTTCGGTTCTCATATTATATGGCAAATCAACATTTACAAAATCGAAATTTTCCAAATCTGTGTCATCATCAAAAGATTCTGATAAGCTTGCTTCATCTGACAGTTGTCTATATTTCCGTAGCAATTTAATTCGTTTTTTTGAAATATATGGGTTCGAACTAATTAATAAATTATTAAGGATGTCTTTATTGGTTGCTTTTCTATCGAATTTTCTAGAATGGTCTAAGCGATATAGTATAAAGTCCTTGTTTTGGGGATTCGGATGCTTCTTCAGATAATTCTCCAATGGGAATTAGGCCGAAACTGGCAATTATGTCTGCTCCATGGGCAAGTAGTTTATGCACGCTTGAAGGCATGTAATACCATTTATATAGATCTATGTATAACTTCATAGTTACTTCAGCATATTCTTTAAATTTAACATCGTTGCATTGATGTTTCACTTAAAATTGCTGTGGCTTTACCGTCTATCATAGTAAGCAGTAAGGAATGAGTAATTTCAATATCTTCTACTTTTGTAGTCTGCAGATGGTCAATTTCAGACTCTACTGATGTATTTTGCTGTATTATGGTCGCTTTATTCTCTTTAAAGAATCTAAAAAATAGTGGGCGAAACATATGTCTTGAATTTGGCGAGTCGTTTTCCCAAATCGTTGATTCTCCAGAAACTAACTTGATGGGTACTAAACTTCCCATAAATACGCTGGAATCATCTCCATTATCTTCCGTTTCTGATTCTATTGTTTGCTTATATGTAACTTGATTCGAGGCACCGTCAAAACCCCATTTACTTATTAGTTTCATTTGTTTACAATCGTCATTTAACGGTATAGATTTTAATAATCTGCTTGCTGTCAAATCTAAGAGCGCTTGCAATTTTATTTGAGCAGTGGTCTCTGTTAGTGTAATCTCCTCTTTAGGTGGATAGCACTACTGTTTTGCTTTTTGGAGTTTAAAGTAGGAAGGAAATATATGCACACCTTTTTCAGCAACATTTTTTCTCAATGTATTATATTGCCACTTGGATAGTTTTAGTGATACAAACAAACCTAAAGCCGCATCTGCATCAAACAATGGTTTTTCAGTTTTGTTTTACTAATACATTCTTGTACTTTTTTCACATCTTGTGGATTTTTAAGCAAGTAATCAACGATTTTGGCAATATCACCATGACCATCAGCTTTTCATTTCATGGAATGTACGTACGATATCTCATCATAAGATATTGTGTTATCAATATTCTCAGCGCGACTCTTTTTTTGCTTAGGTCCTAAATCAGAAATGTTTTCTTGGACTCAACTCAGTATAGGTTCCTACGCTTATTTTTGATGATGTTTCAAATTGTGCTGATGTAATAGGCGTGGTCGTAGATGGTTCGTTGCTTTATTCTGAAGCACTCCTGACATAATCGGGCCATAATACATCTGCATCCAACCAATTACTTTATTTCTTTATAAAATCTTCTTCTGTTCTATTAGCACTGAGCCAATTTCTGTGAAGATTAGAACAATATGTTGCACAAAACGCTTTCAACTTTTTGATATTGTCTTCGCTTAAATTTTTGTTTAAACTAGATTTTGTAATATCAAATAATGCCGCAGCATTTTTAATATAAAACTAAAAAAAGTGGCACTTTTTTTTAGTTTTACAAACAAATCTAGGTTAGTCATCAATTCACCAACCATTTTTATAAAACTTCCAAGAAAAGGGTATTATTTGAAAATAAGTAGTGCGTTTCTTACGAAATGTAATCACGTTCTGAGAGAAGTTTACTCGAATTGGACAAACTGACCTAATTACTACCTGTTATTATCCTAACTTGACCACATATGTCAAAGATAAGCATATTTCTTAACAACCTTGATCTTTTGTTCGTGTTTATGATAAGCTCCCCATTATTTACACGTGTGTTTTTTTAGCAAAACAAGTGACATTTTAGGGTGATGAGACTGCTGACTAACTTGAGCGGTGATTGTTCGTAGGTATGCGTCTTGATATTATTAATGTTATTATCTTTTTGATTGGCATTAATTTTATGTGTGCTATCTTTTCTCGTGTCGAGAATGTACCGCATAATATCGAAATTAAAATAAATTACGTCAAATCTTAAATATTTCTACAAACATTTTTTAAAGTGTTATTACTCAAAAACTATAACTACTGGTTGCGCCCCGTATAAAGATTCCAATAGTAATCCTATTACAACGGCCTATATCACTCGGGGATGGTGTAACTTTCCATCAATGAAAGAATTTTCTGAATCGATTGAGTAGTTCCAGAAATACAAATATTCAAATTTACAAAAATTTACCTCTTTATAATATTGGTATAGATGAAGATACAAAAAAGTTCCAGGACATAAAATTATCATATTGACTTGTAGTATCCGATCCTAACAATTTCAAGCTTTAAGTCCACACTTTTCGAAATCAGCCCACTGCGCCGCCGCCGCCGCGTTTTTTCTCCCGCCCCCGCCGCCGACAAATGCAATCGGCGCGCCGTTCAGTTCGATCAGGCGCTCCGATCGTACAGTCAAGAGCACATCAAGCTTGACATTTTGTACTTTGGACCGTTCGTATCGTAAGCGGCATAGAGTTGGATTTAAGTCTTGAGTGTCAAGCTTGACGTGCTCTTGACCGTACGCACGCGCACGTTTCTGTATTGTATATGTGAAAATGGCGACGCCAGTAAATGACTTTTATAAGATAATTTTTTTTTTATAAAATGTAAGTTCGCATTTGACCTCCATCTCACCTGATGGAAAGTGACGATGAGGTCGACGAATGATGAATGCCTATTCATTTTTGCCATGAAAAGGCCCAAGTTACAACGTTCAGGGAACAAGTCTGCAGGCAGGAAATTCCACTCCATAGCCGTTCGCCATACAAATGTGGAACCGTAACGCTTCGTGCGAATCTTTGGAATATCCACAACATAGAGGTGGAACCCAAGTCTACGCCTAGCCCCCCGGTCATGGAAAGGGGAAAGCGGAATTAAATCGTTTAATTCTATCACACACTCTCCGTGATATATCCTGTAAAATACCGATAAGCTGGCAACTTTACGGCGGTGTTCTAGGCTCTGCAGCTTCGCCTCCACTAATTCCGAGTCACCTATAATCTTCTTGGCACGGTTGTCAATTGAATTAAAGGTGGCCAATTAGTATGTAACAGAGCTATCCTAAAGGTGGCAACAGTACTCCATGCACGACCGGAGTTGTGCTTAGTACAGATGAAGCAACTGTCCCTATCTACCGGCCCGAGATGTCCCTATCTACCGACCCGAGAGATAGGGTTTTTCGGAGAGACTACGGGCTCGACGGCAAGACCAGGGTACAGCGGGCGTCCGGGCCAAGCCCTCCGCCAGTGATACGCCTTCCTGGCGGACCCGGACTTGGGTATGGACTCGCTGGGGTTTATGGTTAGCTGCAGAGATGGACATGTTTGTCTGCCCCGGTTTTGCATGTGTCCGGGGCGTCTATCTCGTGAGCAGCTAGCGCGTCTTTGTAGAGGTCTAGTTGAGAACCTGTATGCGAGGAGACGCGCGGGACACGTGAGTCGAAGGACACTGCGACTGGCATCTCCGGCACTACTTCGGAGAGCTAGTAGAGGATAAGCTAGATATCCTCCGGTCCCTCGAGCCGATTAGGTTTTTGGGAACTGGAGAGACGTCGTTTGTCGGTGTTGCCGTCGGGAAGTGAGCGTGGCTTACAGCTCCGCCACCAATGAGAAGTTTTTATAGTGGACTCAGAGTCGACGGCTTAGCGGTGGCAACTGCTAGTTGTGCAATGCGCAACGGGAAGTGAGTGTGCCTACATCTCTGGTATCTATCTGAAAAATAGGGAGGGTACTGTAAGTGCACCCGGGGCGGCTCACCCGAGGCACTAGCGTCTCGAAGAACCAGATGAAGTCGAGTGACAGAGGTCTGTGAGAACCCTGTACACTGGCCGATCTGGAGTCAGAACCTGAACTTGTAAGGTTCCTGTGCGCGCACAGGTTATAGTGCCCCTCTCGTGTGCCCCAAGGGTAGGTAGGGAGTGTCACTATTATAGTGACACACACGAATGTTGGTTAAGCACTGTTTTATTCAAAATCACCCTCAGTACACAAAATGGTACAATGACGTTACTTTATACAGAAATACCTTCATAAATATACTACAATTATAATTAAAACTAACGCAGAAAGATATGGTGCTTATCCCGGTGTGAAGTAACTCACCTCACCCTGGAAAGGCCATGGATTCAATGTATCTGCCGAACTACAAATTGGACGACAGGTCCATTCCAAGTAGCTGGAGACAGTCGGCTATCGGTATGGATAGGTATATCACGAAAAGTCTGAGTCAGCTCAAAGTGACTCCATTTTATGGAGAATAAAATGCTTTAGAAATATCCAAAGACAATGCAAGTGTCTTATAGCCTCGCTCCATATGTGATAGGCATACACAAGAAATCCCCAGTAGATCGTCCTCGTCGGAATCCGTACTGGCGATCACTGAGGAGGTCGTTGTCTTCGAGGTACGATAGGAAACGGTTGTTGAGTACACGTTCCATAGTCTTGCAGAGTATGGAAGTGACTGAGTCAGCTCTAATTCCCTTTTTTGGCAAGCTTCCACGACCTGGGAACTACACCAGTCTCAAGTGAGAGGCGGTACAGGCGTAGGCGTGTGAGAACACGAGACAACTCAGGCGCACAGTTACGTAGGACTAGTGCTGGAATTCCATCTGGCCCGCTAGCTTTATTCACGTCTAGATTCCGCAGAGTTCTAAGTACCTCTTTTTGGCGTATGCGAATTGGCGCCATATTGCAGCCAGCCTGTGGTAAGATTAGATCCAGACGCAAAGAGTGAGGCAAAAAGATTTGCTTTGTCATCTGCAGTATAGGCCAGCATACCGTCCTGCCTCAGCAGAGGTGACATAGATAGGCGATAAGAGTTAGTTTTAAATTTAAAGATTATATTTAAAGATGTCAACCGTGACCATGGGACCTGTAAAGGGCCCGAAACGTCGGTTTGTTTGAAAAAACAAATATACGCGATTTAAATCCGGAAAAATAGTTTCATTCCTATGTATAACAATCGCGAAAACCTAAGAACTCGATAAAGATGTTTTGTTTAAAAAATTAATTTGTCAATTTCTGGCGTCGCCATTTTCACTACGCATACACAATAAGGAAGCGTGCGCGTGCGTACAATCGGAGCGCCTGATCGAACTGATAAAAAATTGATTACTATAGAAAATACGTTATTTTATTTTTTCCTTTGAAAAAGTATTTGTATAACGGTTTTTGTATAAACAAACACCGATATACAAATTCGTTTTAGGGTCGCGCTCGCGCCGCCGAAACGCCACCGCCCCCGACACTTTTGTCGGCGCGCCGCCGGCCGGTTGGTTTATTATCGGTGCTCATGTCTATGCAGTATACGGAAAAATTGCTGTGTAATAAGACTTATGAAGTAAAAAAACCAAACGGAGAAACGATGACAGTTGCTAATTGGTGTAGAGTTTTCCAAGACTTCTCTCTGTACCTACGCTCTTCCTGTATCATCAGTCATCACATGTATACATAACTAAACATTATGATTCGGTTCAGATACAAGGCGAAGAATTCAAATGCTGTCCAATTCGGCATACTCTTTAGAGGGCATAGGGAGTAATCAATCCATAGACAGCACATTTAATTACAGAGAATATTCACGTAAGTATTTTTTATATTGTTTTGAAAAATCTAAAAATTAGGTCTATTATTGGTTGTAATGAAATTATGATGATTTAGAACAATGACATTCTTTTATTTTTTGCGAAATTACTTCACTCGTTTTTTATAATTATTAGAAAAAGATATATTTTATATATTTTTGCTTAATTTTAGATTTCATTTTGCAAAGTTCAAGTACCTTAGCCTAACAGTAACATTTAAATAGAGACGTCATTATTTATTGCAACATATATCTCATATTTGAAATGCAAGTGTTATATTTAATTTTTTTTAATTAGTAGCAGTAGAGCTCCTTGTTAATGAGTTTATCCAGGGAAGTATTGTCACCTTACCTATTTCTGCCGCCAAGCAGCACATGGGCCTTGTCAACTTATGTCTTAAGGTGACGGGCGCAGCGGCAGTGGCACTCTGATCCTTGTGACTGGGTGGCACTGCAACTGTTATGGACAGGCGTGTAGCTAATCACCAGGCGTACGACTTCCTCGTCGCGTCACTAAGAATTATAAAAAAATGAAAAATCATCCGGCTGTCCTCGTAACTTCCACAAAAAGTTTTTTCTTTTCTTTCTTATGTTTTTTCCAGTGATTTTAAATTCTCATAGGACATTGGCGAAATCGCCATTTTTTTTTTGTATAATTTTTATAATACCATTAAACTACCGTACATAGTTATTTTTACTTGTCATTGGCAAAATCATTGATTATTTCGATGGAGCCATAACATTTAAAAGAAGAAGTTTTTTCCAGTCCGTCCAGCAGTGATTGCAGCCCTGGCCCACAGCACCTGGTGGCCAGAACTTCGTCGATTCATGGTAACTCCTGTACTCAGAGCCGTGGATAACGACGAACCTATGGACTTCCTTACGGAGATCCGTAACGTGGTCGTTGTATTTCTCAATATTAAAACGCAGACTGTGACTGAGGATGTGCTTATTTCCATCGTCGATAATGCTTACAAGACGGTTTATAAGTTAGTGGCTTCTTTACTATTACCAATAACCGGCCTCCGTGGTCGAGTGGCTTGCACACGGTTTTCATAGTGTCGCCGTCTCTGAGGTCCCGGGTTCGATCCCCGGCCGGGTCAGCGTAGAAAACTAACTGTTCTATATTGCCTCGGGTCTGGGTGTTTGTGGTACCGTCGTTTCCGATTTCCATAACACAAGTGCTTTATTATTTATTTATTTATTATTTAATAGCCAAGAAGGGAGTCTAGACGGAAATACTTTTCTTGACTTCAAGGTTACAAAATAAAAACCTCTAGAAACACAAAGAACGTCCCGTTCTTTTAAAACAGAAAACTACTGTGAGGTTCTGACATGTTTGCTAAAGGACAACTCATGTGTTTAAGTCGAATTCCGTGTTCTTTAATCATGAGATTCCTGGGCGGTGACTCGACGGAAACTACTCGCCAAAGCCTGATTGCCCTGTAGTATAGGCCCTGTACTTTCGTTCTCCGTCCGTCTGTAACAATTACTGTCAAATAAGTAATACACAAGCAAATTAAAAAACAATATGACAGTCATTGTTACGAACGAATGCGATGCACGACTTTGATTCTATACCGAATGCCAATACCATTCGGTCGGGTGCACGAGTCGAATGATCATTATATCGGAACACCTCATTCATCATATCCATACCAAAATATCCCTGTCCCCGTCATATTTACAGTATTTACTTTTATGTCAAAAAGGGCTAGGTGATCCCGAGCAGAAATGCTCTATGGAATCTATGGATTAGTACTACTAATTAGTAATTAATGATCATTCAAATCATTCGAATATGAAAATTAGTAGGTTACTAATTTGACATTCGAATGACATGATTCGAATAACGAAATCATTCACAATCGCACATCGCTAAATGAGAGTAGACTCCTAGGTGCGGGCGTAAGCGGGCGGCGGCGGCGAGCAACTCAATTACCCTCGTTTGCTTCACTCTTATTAAAGTCATATGTAGAATTGCCCACTATACTAACAACGTCATTTTCTAAAGTCTCACCGACACTAACCACTGACGTAGTACTTAACATTGTTTTTTTTAACGTCCCGTTCTTTCGGATTTTGGTCATGGGTAGGTATTCCAAAAACGTAGAGCCTTATAAAGATCCTTTTGACAACAACACAGAAATAAGGTCTTTGATTAAATAAATAGACGGCTCATTATTTCCAGCATTTCATCCCAAGCTGGCGGCCTTGTGAACAAAGTGTCAATGTTCGACAAAGACATGATGTTCCTGGTTGTGTTCGGCCTGCGAGGCTTGAAACATGAGGAAGAGGCCCAGGAAGCGTTGTTATGCGCTTACTGCTTGAAGGAAACACTTGTTGATCGTAATATTATTAGTGTCTCTATTGGTGTTACTTCAGGTTTGTCTTTTTAACGACTAAAAAAACGAGATAATCTGACTGATCGTTTATGCTAGTATCTAATTTCAGGAAGAACATATTGTGGCGTTGTAGGTCATGTATTGCGACGAGAGTACACCGTCATTGGACAGGCTGTCAACAAGGTTGGTTAGATTTTTACGCATAACCTTCTTTTTTGTAAAAGGCCTAAATAGGCCAATTGATCCTCAACAACGAGGAACGGACTGAACGTAGGCTTAATACATAATGTAATTATGGGTTATATTTGGGATTTCTTCAAAGGTTTCAGGGTAGGAGTAAGAGAAGGTTTATTTTAACAACAAATGTAGTGTGATAAAATTACTTCGTATAAAATGTTTTAGTTTTTTATTCCTTTTATGTTTTTAGTGTACTTGTACATGTATATTAAGTAGCATAAATTATTTAAGTGTTTTATTTTCCTTTTTTTATATACGCTTCTTTTTTGCTTGTGATCTTGTTTCGCCTATCATCTTTATTTAGTTTTTGTTTATGGAACTCTAGGTCTGTATGTATATCAATTTCGGTTTATTACCTGTCTGTTGATGACTGTTTGTTTCCTTAAATACAGCGTGTTCCAAAATTCAACTATTTTATTTATATTTTTTTTTTACCCCAATATTACCCAATTAGTTTAGTTTATATTTTTAGTTCGTTATTCGTTTTTTCAGGCAGCGAGACTAATGATTGCCTACCCAAATATCGTAACATGTGATAAAGAAACGTTCGTGAGTAGTAAACTGGATCTAGATTTCTTCAGACTGATGGAATATAAAAACCTGAAAGGGATTAAGAAGCCAGGACCTGTCTATGAATTTAATAAGTCAGGGTTAGTTTTACAAACACGTAAACTAAAACGAAACATTATAACTTTCACTAAAATGGTTCGTCTGCGTCTTCCCAAAGATCTTCGCCTTTATCTACTCTTGTTGGTATAGTGCCATACGTACTTTTCAGTTGTACATGTGCCTACACTTTTTCTTGGACTTAGGTAATTATACGATCCATTTAAACCCTTTCAACCTTTTATTCACCACACAAAACGTTAAGGGCGCGTATACACGCTAAGAAATTCGACGTGTTTGCTACAGAAAAGATGAGAATGGTACATGACAAGAACTTTGTCGGATATAGCCACGAAAACATGTCGTGTCTGTTGCAGACGGGAAAATGGTGCGTATGTACACGATACAAATGCCTTTGGACAAAAGCATCCTAAAGGGTAAAATGTGTGAGTGCATTACGAGTCTTTCAGGTAGCCGTCGTTTTACTACCGACTGTGGGAGGAAATATATTGTTGTATATATTGACTACTAAGCAACACCCGTCTACGCGCATAAACGCGCGTTTACTGACAATGCACCTCACCCCGCCCCATACAATAGCGGTATAGCGCGTCGTGTCGGAGCTAGACAAGATTTTTTCTTGTCCGGGGTCGAGGCAGTGTACAAAGTTCGTATGTAGAAACGACACGAATTCTAGCAGCTATACGGTGACTTTTCTTAGCGTGGACACGCGCCCTAATGCTCTGGCCACGAGTTTATATTAACCTTGCCACACTGAAACGTGGTTCAGTGTGGCTGGGTTCATATAAACTCGTACATTACAAAAACTCCCGCGCCCGGAACGCTTCCGCTGCCACCTCTGTGTGGCCTGAGCATAAACGTACCTAACTTATTCAATGACATTAAAATTACAACAATTACAATTAGCAACATTAACAATTACTGTCTGGCAGGGGAGTGGGTAGCAAGCACAGCACACATTGTGTAGAGCATACGTACATACACAGCACTAATTTTCATCTTGTCCTCGCAGTTGTGGACAAGCAGATGTATAAAACACGCGCATAAAAATAAACATAAACTAAAATGAAAAATAATTAAATTCGCAATACACAAAATAAATAGAGCAACCAACTACACATACAAGTAACTATGACAAAACGCAATTCACTATAATATTGATACTAATACAGATTGTAACTATGTGTAGTAACTTTAACAAACTAATACATACTATTTTACACTAGAGGTGCTTCCTCCTTTTTGTGACTCCAAAAATAAACTCTTGAGCGGCGAAATCAAACACGTTTGGGACATTTCCCATCCACCCCATTTCCTACATCTGATTAAATTTTCTCGTGTGGTCGTCACTTGTCCAGAGATGACCCAACACGTATCCTCCTCCGTAGGTATACTATGATTTAATTATTTAGTAAACCCATCAAAGAGTTGATCCAGAGAAGTACTTCCATACCTACGTATTTCTGCCGCCAAGCAGCAATGTGAGCATTACTGGGTTCCACTTTTAAAGGTGATAGTGTCGCTACAGGTACGTGGTACAGTCAGGAGCACCTCAAGCTTGACACTTTTTACTTTGGACCCTCGTTATCGCAAGCGACGCGACGTGCTTTTGACCCTGTACTTGTCGACTTTGTGTAAGAGTGACGGGTGCTGTGACAGTGCCCCACAGATGTTTGCGGTTTAAAGATTTAAGTGCCACTGCAATGTTTTTTTGGAAGGGTAAGGGTCCTGGTGAAATTACAGACACATGGGACTTGTCAACTTATGTCTCGAGGTGATGGGCGCAGTGGCAATGCCCCTGAGATCTTTGCGATTTAAAGCTCTGAGTGGCACTGCAACTGTTATGGATAGGCGTGTAGCTTGCCACCAGGCGCACGACTTGTTCGTCGCGTCACTTGGTGTTATAAAAAAAAAACTTCAAAAGTTTTCCCGTTCGCTTACCATCAGGCGCTCGACTATTTGTCGTGTCAATTGATATCAAGCAAAAACGGGAAAATTATCTTTGTGATGTGCGGGTAATGTTATTTTCCATAGATGGCCTGAGAAAATAACTGTAGTTCGACACCCGTTACTCGATCGCAGTGAGGAACTACGACAGTTCAAGAGAGTCCTGCAAAATGCGATTGAACATGAACACGAGCAGTTTACTAGATATCGCGATCACAAATACGCAATTGCTCTTACGGTTAGTACCTAAAAAAGTTTGCTTGGAAGGTAACTAGAAGATTTTTGATGGAGATGGTATGTGCCTAGTTTTTGTATGTCGCATTATTTGACGCGTTACCACAATGTCCGAAGTAGTTGATTTAAAATAATTTTCATACAAAAACGTACTCGCACCAATAGGGCTAGCACGGATATGGCGCAACTTGCGCTAGAGCGACAGAAAGCGCGAGAAATCTGTGAGAGATGTCGCGCCCAATTGTGCTAGCCCTATAGGTGTAATAGGTACTAGTGAAAGTGCATAGTGAGATGAAATCTAATTTCCAAACTGCCCAAAATTTAAATTCAATTCTATGTACCAAACTTGTGCTCCCATTTGTTTGTACCGTGCTCCTCGAGCGAAAGTTTCGTTTGTAAAAGCGTTTGTAAAAGCGTTCCGAAATGTCTCGTTTTTGAGTATTAATTTATCCACATTACAAAGTAATATTATTTTCGATTCACTGATTTTTGTACAAGGCAGTATACATAAAATCTCCAATTTATTAAATATTTTTCACTTATTATAGGTAAATTATAATATTTGTAGCATAATGTTAAGAATTAAAATTTCAACAATGTAAATTTCAAATAATTTCCGGAGGTAAAATTTTTGCAGCAGCTCCAAAACTTATATCATGTGTATCATTCTATTAACCGACTTCAAAAAAAGGAGGAGGTTCTCAATTCGTCTGTATGTTTTTTTATGTATGTATGTTACGCGATAAGTCCGCCATTTGTGAACCAATTTTGATGATTATTTTTCTGTTGGAATGAAGGTAGGGAAGGTAGGTTTTTAAATTTTAAATTTAAATTTCAAGAAAATATTCCACCTCTCGTCTAATTTGAAGGCATCGTTATAAGTAAGATACAATTTTCAAAAAATTTTTTATATCAACTGAACTAAATGGCACACGTATACGATATACATTTTACATATGGCTTTAATTTCGTTTGTAAAAAAAATAATTCTGAAATAAGGCCAATGCCCTGTCGCTCGACGCGCGCAATAGAACCGATTCAGGGTCCCGATTCAGAACTTTTCGATATTTTAACCGGATCGTTCGATTGGATATCGTTCTGTTCTTGTTACACGTTCGGTTCGGATTCGGATGCGACATCGTTATCCAACAGCGTTTACGGAGTTAGTCGGTGAAATGAAAATCCTTTTACACACATTTTTTTTCCTATATTTTAGGCCTTTAAGGCCTAAAATATAGGAATGTATTAGACTTGCGTTGAAATACATTAATAAAATTGAACAGAATAAAGATTTTATGTAAAATAATAAAAGATTTCCATAACACATTCTTGTTTTGTAAACAATACGACGTTCAGTAACTTTCATTCGATAACTGTGTTCTGAATAACGTTTGTGGCCTTTGCCGGTCGAGAAGTTCGAGTAATCGTACGGGTGTGACGTCATTTCGCTTCGGTTTCGAACACGACAGTTTGACGTTCGATTCGGGTGTTGTGAATAAAAATGAATAGAAATCGTACGATATCAAATCGAATCCGTCGTCAACTGAGTTATCTTAAGGGTGCGTTCCTACTATGTCGTGACGACAGATTGTTGTACATAGGAAATGAAACGACAGAAATGGTCACGGTTGACATGGGACCTGTAAAGGGCCCGAAACGACGGTTTGTTTGAAAAAACAAATATACGCGATTTAAATCCGAATAGTTTCATTTCCTATGTGTAACAATCGCGAAAACCTAAGAACTCGATAGATTGTTGTACAGTTTAGGGTCGTGGCTTGTATATGTAAATGAAGTTGTCCACATATAGCACGACACGATTAACTGTCGTTCACGATTTTTTATCGATTCAACGACAAACTGTCGTCACAGTGGGAACAGCTAGAACGACAGTCGTCAGACGATAAAACAACGTCACGATAAAAACGTGACGACAGATTGTCGCAGCTCCTATTGTCCTCACGTTTTATTTAACGCTGTCCGCACGTATTCTGCTCCCTGCCCTCCCCTCTCGTACCCCTCGCCCTCTGCTTGCTTTGCAGTAACGTTGGGTCGTAGCCAGAGATGGGCAAGTGCCTATGTTTTAACCCGGCGCTTTGTTAACGCCGGGTTTAAATCGGGTTAAAACCCGAATTCGGGAGCAAAAACTATTTACGTCTAAATATTTGTAGTGAATTGAGTTTTGTTCAAATTTAATTATATATATTATTACAAAATATTTGTTGCTTTATTATCAGGACAGTTCGATTTACCTTTCTATTGAATCGATTTTCATTGAAAATCTACAGGATTGACAGGTGGTGGGTATTATGTGGAGATGCCTCTTCTTCGTGTAATAAAAATATAGAAATACAAGCAGCTGCAGTGCAGCAAACGATTTTGTCGTGCAAACTACAAGGAGGCTGTCGTGACGCGATAAATTGTCGTCACGATCTAGTGGGAACAGTTAGTCACGGCAGTCGTCCAACGATAAAAAATCGTCCACGACAGATAGTCGTGATATGGGAACAGTCTAGACACGACAGTCGTCCAACGATAATAAAACGTGACGACATAGGGGGAACATTTGAATTCGAGGCGAGGTAGTACAATTTCACTACGACAGCTATGTCAATGACGACAGCCATAAATTTTTATGTATTCCGCATTTATTACTACCAATTTATTTATAATTAATTTATGTCATAAAAATGCCATTTTGCTTCATGCTATTTGAAATCAGATTTTAACTGGACTAATTCTTCGTTAGGGACCAAGATTAGTGGGTAAATGCCGGTTGATGGATGAGTTTCTCATTATCAGTTCTCATTTAATCCCTCTTGGAGCCCATATTACTCTCTTTCCACATGATGCGGTAAGTTTTATGCAATTTGTCATCCGAGGAATACTTTACCCACGTGGCTTGAATACCATCATTATCTAAATCAGAGCATGAATTTGTTATTGCAAAGAAATCGTTTTACAAAAAGGCGCGACCATTTTTACAACATTGGTGCTGAAATAGATGTATAACTGAGAGCTATAAAAACGTATGTGACTTGGTATAGGGTCAAGAGCACGTCAAGCTTGACACCTAAGATTTAAATTCAACTCAATGCCGCTTACGATAAGAACGGTCCAAAATGCAAAGTGTCAAGCTTAACGTGCTCTTGACTGTACAAGAAGTGCGCTAAGTAATAGGGACATATGGGCGCCTTCAAATAAATAAGTAAATAACGCACACACTAGGGAAACCCTGTGTCGCGGATGCCATGGACACACACATGGACAACCATAAATTACACCTAAATTCACGAGAGAAATAAATGTAGTCCATACAAATATTTCTCTCGACCCGGGAATCGAACCTGGGACCCCTGCGTGGCAGTTGGCAGTCCGGCATGGTAACCGTTCGGCCACATTTGCCGTTGTTGCTTTGCTGTGATGCGTAGCGGTGGGTGGGAAATAACGTCACGATGAAAAAAATCACGGTAATCAGCAGTCAAATAGTAACACCGTGACTTTTTACGAACGAACGACGTTCCAAAAACACATAACTGTCTCCGTCACTAACATCTCGACATAATGACGTATTTTACAAACAAAACCATACGTGATCTCCGTTCTATAGCGACTAACAACTGTGCCATTCATTGTAGTTCGCTTTTATTTTTTATTTCTAATTATGAACCAAGAAATAATTAGATCAGTGTAAATATTGAAAGTATAAATAAGATAATTTTACGAAGTTGATCCAAAATAATAAACACGTTTCATGGTCTTTTTAACGACGCGACAGTCCTAAGCCTGTAAAACTGGAAAAGTAATTGCGGATCAACTTTCCAAATGAAATGAAATGTTACTTCAAAGTGAGTAATAACTTAAATTATTATGATTATTAATAGGTATGTACAAAGATTGAACACACAGAAAATTTTGCTTTTATTCGGCCCGGTGGGACAAAAAAAAATTTGTATTAATAATTATAACAAAATTAGTGGAGTTATTTCTCAAACTATCTCAATAAACCTTAAATTATTATATTATAACGACTATTAAGTAGCCGTAGCAGTAGTAGTAGCTGTATTAGTAGGTAAGTGACGGTGATAGAGATGTAACGCTTTTTCACATCTCGATGCGCGTCTGTGGCGCAGCAGTCGCTCCACTACTAATTTCATGCAATATCTAGAAGCGCAGTTGCAGCGCTACGGTCATGACACGCGCGTGCTATTTGTGCAAGCAGTCACAAGTGAAAAATGAAGACTTTACGCGCGGCTACCGCGCCACTGCAATGGCGCTTCTTGTACCAAGTCACAGATATATCTATAACCTTCTATAAACATTAATTTCCTATTGACGGCACACATTTTGTGCACATGCACAAAATAAATGCATTTTGTGCTCATGCACAAAATGTGTTCATACACATATTCATTTTTCGCAATCCTTTTTCTCTAGTTTCTTTGTCATCCTCACCAGCATCAGCTGAATAAGGTCGAACCATTTTTTACATCCCTTAAACAATCAGTTTGCCTAAACGAGTAAAATTATACCTACTTGGTTATTTGTTTGAAGCAGACACCGTATCAAGCGATTCGTATGCTGATAATTGACGGGGAAGCGGGGAAAACCTCATTGACGAACACCAAAACAAGCTTTACACAATTACGTAATAATTTTGAAAACGTGTTGAGATACAGGTAGGAACAAATGTTCTACACATATACGCATCTCTTACATATTTACTAAATAGCAACCACTTTTACGCATTCACTGCCGGCAACGCGTTCACTTGACTTTACCCAGTGACTTGTTTGCTGCTACGAGTTCATACATTTCCGAAACTACCCTCAGTGATGTCAACGCAAATATACCTAAGTTGATATAATGGTTGTGCTGATGTAGGTTTTTTACATATCACTTTTTACTAGAGATGCCTCGAATATTCAGCTACTATTCGGTATCGGCCACTTTTTTTAATAGTCGGTATTCGGCCGAATAGTCGTAGTTTTCGGCCGCATAGTCAATATCAAATAATGAAAAAAAAGCACATATTCAAAATGTATCACGTATTTTAATCACAAATTGTTGCTTTTTATTACTTTTTTTGTTACTTAAAATCAATCAGTGGCAGGTTGTAATGAATGAAGCAAAATTTTCAGCATTGGTTTGTAACAAACGATTGCGTTTTTCCTCATAAACATTTCCTGCCCGGAGACGATAAATAAATTTTAGCAAATTTTGACAGGCTTGGATATTGCTTTGCGTTTGCTAACTACCACTTGTAAGGCTCTGCCGTCCGATTTAAGCGAACAGTTTTCAAATAAAAATCAATTTAATGTGCAATAGAACTTTTCTCCACATTCTCATCATTTTGCATATCATCAGTAGCGACTTCTTTTTCAACAAAAACCACCCCCGTTACCTCCGCACGCAGCGCAATGAGACAGGGCGTAACAGGTCACGCGTGAAATGCATATCTTACGCCGAACATTCGGCAGTCGTGGCCGAATATTCGGTATTTGGCCACATCACTATTCGTGGCATCTCTATTTTTTACAATTGCGTTATCGGGTTTCATTCATTATGCATTAACATTGTTCATTTGCTTTCATACAGTCTGGATTTGTTTAAGATGTCCCCCTTAGAATTGTTCGCGTTAAACACAATCTTCGATTGCCAATTCCCGTTGCCCGAAAACTACACTTACACGGGCGATTTGCTTGCTGAACTGAGCGTCAGGGTGATGGTCACAAACATTTGTAAACTGGTAGGCATTTGTTCAATACTTTAGAATCTTTAAAGTGCCTACAGATTTGCTCGATTTTTATTTTTTATTCGACTAATGTATTTTGACGATCACATTTGCTCACTATTTGACGATTGTTATTGGCGTTCGATATTTCACTAATATACATAGGGCGCTCTATAAGTTTCCGGAATTGGACGCTTACATAAACAATATTTAAAAAGTAATTACAACTCTTTGGCTGTAGAATACAGTTTGTTTCATCTGACTGTCACTTGTTTTTGCGTCATTTTAGAAATTGGTTGTCTACATCACCATGGATTTAACTCGTGAAAATTTTCGTAGTATGATTTTCTACGACTTTAAGTGTAATTTAACAGCTCAGCGGAGCTTCGCCCGGCTTCAAGATGCTTTTGAAGCACGATGAAGCACCATGCAAGACGACTATATCAGCTGGTTTGCAGAATTCAAAGCGGTCGTGTGAATCTCAGTGACGAATTTCGTGATGGTCGCCCGACCACTGCTGTGAACAACAAAAATATCGACGCTGTGCGCCGTATGATCAAAACAAACAGGCATGTGACATACTATGAGATTCGGGCATCTTTAGGCATAGACATGAGGGGATGTAAGGGGGCACACACCATCACAGCTCTTATTGTCAACCTCACCTGCACGCGGTACATCCTGCAGTAACCGACGAGGCTCTGGCGACCGGTAGTAGGCGGTATAGCCCTTCCCCACATTGGCGCTGTCAAATCTGCTGGCTACCGACGGGCAGCAGCGTCGGTAGTACAAAGGCAGCGCCCTGCGATCTCCAACCCGCATGCCCAGCGTGGAGATTATGGGCAATAACCCCCTTCATGGACGGCACAACCAATCGAAGGCCCCCAGTTCCCGGTCGCCCCGCTATTCCTGGTCACGGTAGCGGCCATGGTACCGGCGGGGTAGGGGGTGCTAAGAATCCCCGGGCTACCGCAGGCTACCAAAAACAACTGACCCTGGCTACGTTTAACGGACGAACTCTTAGGCTTGACGAACACCTTGCACAGTTGGAAGTGGAACTGGAGAACATTAGATGGCATGTTCTGGGGCTGTGTGAAGTCCGAAGAGAGGGAGAGGACACCATAACCCTAGACTCGGGCCATCTACTGTACTTCCGCGAGGGTGATCAAACATCCCAAGGTGGTATAGGATTCCTCGTCAACAGAGTCCTCTCTAACAACGTTGAAGAGATCTCCAGTGTGTCGAACAGGGTAGCGTACCTGATCCTTCGGCTATCAAAAAGGTATAGCCTGAAGATCATTCAGGCCTACGCACCGACCTCGACACATTCGGATGACGATGTAGAAGATATGTACGAGGACATATCGAAAGCCTTACACAACACCACCAAGGCTCACTTCAACGTTGTTATGGGGGACTTTAACGCTAAAGTGGGATTCCCAAATCTTGACGAGTCTCGAGTCGGCCCGCATGGTTATGGAGTAAGGAATCACAGGGGGCAAACGCTAGTCAACTTCCTCGAGCACGAGGGGCTCTTCTTGATGAATTCGTTCTTCAAGAAGAAGCCTCAAAGGAAGTGGACTTGGCGAAGCCCCGACGCTGTGACTAAAAATGAGATCGATTTCATCCTGACGGACAAGAGACACATATTCAGAGATGTCTCAGTGATCAACAGGTTTAGCACCGGATCTGATCACCGACTTGTACGAGGCTCTCTGAATATCGATGTCAAACTTGAAAGAAGCCGCTTGATGAAGTCCACGCTCCGTCCTAATCCACTCCAGATCATGGCGGGCTCCGAGAAGTTCCATGAACTTCTCGAAGCGAGATTCGTCGAGCTGAAACCCACCGAGGACGTTGACGAGGCCCTACAAAGCGTGGTTGGGACGCTGAGAAGCGAGGGCATCAAATTCTGTCAATTGCAGCGTACGGGAAAGAAGTCTAAACTCTCGGATGAGACTCTGCGACTTATGACGAAAAGACGCGATGACATCCAGGCCACTTCGTCAGAGAGGTCATACCTAAACAAGCAGATTGCGAAGATGGTACGGCGTGACCTTCGGAGTTCCAATACACGCCTCATTGAGGAGGCGATAGAGCGAAACCGAGGGTCCAAAGTTTTCACTCAGCAGCTTGGAAGGAGCCACCTGACGAAGCTTACAACGCACGATGGCCTAACCGTTACGTCAAAGCCGCAGATACTCGCCGAGATAGAGGACTTCTATGGCCGTTTGTACGCTGTAAATGCTCCTCGGGTCCAGCGTGACAATCACGATTTGAGAGCCACCTTGACGCGCCACTATACCGACGACCTGCCAGAAATCAGTCAAGACGAGATCGTGTTGGCTCTAAAACAGCTTAAAAATGGAAAAGCCCCCGGTGAAGACGGAGTTACTTCGGAGCTTTTGAAGTCTGGAGGAGTTCCTGTTATCCAGGAACTTCAGAAGCTCTTTAACTTGGTCATTCACTGCGGGAGAACTCCACGGGCGTGGAACAGGAGTATTGTAGTTCTCTTCTTTAAAAAGGGAGATAAAACTCTACTGAAAAACTACCGACCCATCTCACTCCTGAGTCACGTCTACAAGCTGTTTTCTAGAGTCATCACGAATCGCCTCGCAAGAAGACTCGACGAGTTTCAGCCACCGGAACAGGCCGGGTTTCGGGGAGGATATGGCACCATAGACCACATACACACAGTGAGGCAGATTATACAGAAGTCCGAAGAGTATAATCGGCCCCTGTGTTTAGCTTTCGTGGACTATGAGAAGGCCTTTGACTCTGTCGAAACCTGGGCTGTCCTGGAATCCTTACAGCGGTGCCAAGTAGACTATCGTTATATACAAGTGTTGAGATGTCTTTACGATGCTGCTACCATGAGTGTCCAAGTACAGGACCAGCAGTCTGAACCTATCCAATTACGCAGAGGGGTGAGACAGGGGGATGTCATATCCCCGAAACTGTTCACCGCTGCATTGGAGGATATGTTTAAGACGCTGGACTGGAAAAGGATGGGCATTAACATAAACGGCGAGTACATCTCACACTTGCGATTTGCAGATGACATAGTCCTAATGGCAGAATCGCTGGAGGAACTGGATCAGATGCTGAACAGCCTAGCATCCGCCTCGCGGCGGATTGGTCTCGGCATGAACTTTGATAAAACCAAAGTCATGATCAATGACCACATTGATCCGAGACCCATCTGCGTCGATGGCCACCTTCTTGAAGTTGTTTCCGAATACACTTACCTCGGGCAGATTCTGCAGTTAGGTAGAAATAACTTCGAGAAGGAGGCCAGGAGGAGGATTCAGCTTGGCTGGGCAGCGTTTGGGAAGCTACGTCGAGTCTTTTCGTCACCCATTCCGCAGAGCTTGAAAACAAAGGTTTTCAACCAGTGCGTCCTACCAGTTCTAACGTACGGAGCTGAGTCGTGGACACTCACGATACGGCTAGTCCACCAGTTTAAAGTCGCTCAGCGAGCTATGGAACGAGCTATGCTCGGAGTTTCTCTGAAAGATAAACTCCGTAATGAGGTTATCAGACAGAGAACCAAAGTGATCGACATAGCTCTTCGGATAAGCAAGCTGAAGTGGCAGTGGGCTGGACATATCTGCCGAAGAACCGACAACCGCTGGGGTAAACGAGTTCTTGAGTGGAGACCACGACTTGGCAAACGTAGTGTGGGACGCCCTCCAGCCAGATGGAGTGACGATCTGCGGAAGATTGCTGGCAGGAAATGGATGCGTCAAGCCGAGAACAGGGCGAAATGGCGTGCATTAGGGGAGGCCTATGTCCAGCAGTGGACTGCAATAGGCTGATGATGATGATGATGATGATGATGAAATACAATCAATACTGCTCAAACATTTGGGTGTGAAAAAGCTGTGCTCTCGGCGGATCCCACACAATTTGACTGAGGCTCAAAAATCGGATCGCGTCACTTGGTGCAATGCCATGCTTACTAGATTCAATGAAGGTGCGTCAAACTTGGTGTGGAACATAGTAACAGGTGACGTAATATGGATTTATGGTTACGACCCCAAAACAAAGCAGCAATCGAGCGTGTGGGTCTTTCGAGATGAGCCGAAACCAACCAAAGGGGCGCGCGTGCAAAATGCCTTTAAGCGGATAATTGCTTCTTTTTTTGAATAAAATTAGACACGTGGCTACTGTTGCTTTGGAGAATCGTTGTACCATGAATAGTGATTGGTACACGACCATTTGTTTGCCGGAAGTTATTGACAAACTCCGTAAAAATAACAGTAAGCGCCGTATCAACTTGCACCACAAAATGCCAATTCTCACACGGTCAGACAGACAAATGAATTTTTGAAGGTGAACAACGTTGACCATATGAGCCATCTCGCGTACAGTCCCGACCTGGCACCTTGTGACTTTTATTTATTTCCAAAAATTAAGAACCAGTTACGCGGTCAACGATTTTCATCACCTGTAGCTCGAGTGTAAGTTTTTCATCATGGCAAACGTAACGAACGCGTTTGCGTTAAAATCGTAATTAGTATGGGAAAATGAACAGCGCCTCTGGCGGTACGTATTGGCAACAATAAACGCTAGTGTATTTGTCAAAATGAGTAACGCGCTCGATCCGTATTTTACGTATCGAGCGCGTTACTCACTTTGAACCGCGTTTTTTGTGTTTTTGCGAGTGTAACTTATGAATTTGACATTTCTGCGAGTATTCGAACGGAATCACTGTAGTAAAGTATCTCACTTGTTGTTTGGGTGGTGAAATCGAGGTTTAATCATACGTTTACATGATTTTTCTGTGATAAACTGTATTTCGTGTTTAAAGACTTTATAAAATTGTGTCAAAATTATGGCAGGCCGTTATTTTTATAATCACTCCACACCTTCAAAGAACATTACAAAAAACCTTTTACAAAAAATTTTCATAAAAAGGTTACAAAAAAGTTATAATATGAATAAATATTGAACTTACCTTTTTCCATTTTTCCGTGGTTTTGGCATGACCAGTGGCGTCGGCATTTAATAAGGTTCCTTATTTTAAGACGTAATTGTCTTGATTCGACCGCGGGCGTTTTTTGAAGGTTTGGTTATATCACCATAACTGATACCAAGATTTAAGTACACATTTTTTGTTACACTTACGTTGTATTTGTCTCACATTTTACACAAAAGAAACTACAAAGAACTTACGTTTCCATAAAATTCACGAGCATCTCAAATTGGCTCGGACTAGTTTTCATGATGAAAATAACAAACTAGAATGAAAATTTTATAAAATAACGCACCAATTCCCAAGTTTTAAAACTTGTGTTGATTAACACTCGGCAACAATGGTAGGCACTCATATTTGATGCCTCTTTTACTCTTGTAGAAGAAAATGAAACAACACTATGTTCATTCGTCGTTCATTCGAACAAATATTATCCGTCCAAATTATGAATAATATTCACGATGACCGGTGCCCCTAATGCAAAACTACGTTTTAAATAAATCGTATAATTGTCATCCCGAAACTCAAGTGCCAACCTACAGAAGAAAAAAATACTTTCATAGCAGTGAGCACACGCAACGTTCGGTGAAGTGACACTTGAAAAGATACACTCGCATAACATGAAAAAACTTCTCGCTAATAGTTAACTCACCTAACGCGCTCGAAGCGTATTCGAATTTTTTGGTAAAACTTACACTAGTGCTTCTGAAGAGGCTGTCGAAGAATATGAAAAATATGTTTTAGAGATTGTCACGGAGGAGTGGCATGAATGTTTTCAAAATTGGTTCATTCGTATGAAAAAGTGCATTAACGCTAACGGAGAATATTTTGAGAAACAATAAATAAATTTCTGACCATTTATAGTATTTTTTTCTTATTCATTCCGGAAACTTATAGTGCGCCTCACGTATCTTGACAATCAATAAGGTACAGATTTGTTCAATTTTTGACGATCGTTATTGGCGCTCCATTTACGGTGTTTTCACTATTAATAAGTATCCGTCAGATAACAAATTTCCTCTATTTTGTCGATGGTTAAGGTCGCCTGTTAACGATTGATAAATATCAGGATTAATAAATACAAATTTGGTAAGACACCTAATTTAAGGTGCACAGTGTCGATTGACGAAAAATACTCTGTCGATTGTCTATTGCTTCGACATTTACTCGATTTTGTCTAATCGTAGAAAATCAACAAAGAGTACGATATTGATCGTCTGTTTCTTACACATCCACTCGATTTTGCCTGTTCACGTGTGTTGATAATACGACGTCGAGCATATCTGTTGCTTACATATTTACTTATTTTTGTTTGATCTCACGTGTCAATCTGTAGCTACTATCATCAATCATGAAGTCTTTATTTATTTTTAATATTTGACAATATCACACACGTTGTTCTGATCTCAAAGTAAGTAACTAAAGCACTTGTATTATGGAAATCGGAAACGAAAAACGGTACCACAAACACCCAGACCGCAGACAATATAGAAAAGTTAGTTTTCCAAATTGACCTCGCAGCCGGGGATCGCACTCGGGACCTCAGAGATGGTTTGGATACCACGAAAACCGGTGTGGTAACCACTGAACCACAGAGGTAGGTCAAAAAATAAATAAAACAACATATTCGTTAGTAGATGCCTACACTGCAGAATATTAATAATACGCCCGTTAACCACACCAATAACCTGATCTCAAACTATGGAATTCCCAGTATACTATGAGTACCAGAGCAACGAATTCACTATGGGGGGCTTATTCCCAGTGGTAACAAATGGGATAATAAAAATCTATAATATAGGATTTTTTCCCCCATTTGTCGCCAGTCGTCACAACGTCCTCCTCCAATCAATTTAGAAAAGTGTTTCCCACATTGATCCTACTAGGAATTAAACCCGGAACCTCACATTCTGCTTCTACAATAAATCGTTGAGCGTCGTCACCGAGGTCGTCAATATTTGTTCGAAAATAAACATGTATGATTTTACTTGATCATTCCATCTCTCAGGCAATTGGGCGTAAGTGACCTGCTACTACAAGTATTTAAGACAAGTATAAATTTGGCGAGCACGTCACGTATTGAAAATAAACTTGTCAAGATTTTTCGTTTTACAGCGCTTCTCGTCTCTACATATTGTGTTTATAAGGAACGCGGAGTTTATTGATGACGAATCATGGCGTATTCTGATAATACTTTTGAATGCAAAATGCTTTTTCCTAACAATTTCTATAAATGACGAAAAGATGGTGACAAGTAAGTCGTGTATAAAATCTATAACCAGACTATGACAATCGGTTGGCAGTTATAATCTGAAAAATTCGTCCCACAGCGACTGGAAAAAAGTGCTTATCCAACAGTATGATAGTAAATATGCTCCTTTCTGGTATCGATCGATGGTACCATGCGGCACTGGCATGTCAATTGCTGGACGTGCAAGCGATTCCAGCGGATTTGGAGAAGTAAGTTTCATAGTATTTCAAGTTCTAACAGTTCGTGTTGCGTATGCTACGAAATCTTTAACTATTCATCACTAAACGTTCTCAAACCAAAACATTGCCAACTACTTACGCGTGTTGTGGTGTTAATTTGGCCTCCTCGACTCGTTATTCCTTCCCCGAAATGGAATTTAATATATCTAATCTTTTAAATAAAAATTTTTAGGGTGATAGAAAGCGCAAGCGGTGGACTACCTGGTTGGGTTCAGAACTTTGTCATTTCGCTCATCCAACGATTACAGTTGACAGTTGTTACTGTCTCTCGAAGTGAGGCAATGGAATCTGGAGCCGTTATGCCGTCTCCTGCTTTACTGACTACCACTGTCTTTGCACATGAAGATGAGTCACACTCGTATCCAAACAAACGAGAAAGTAGTCATGATTTGGAAGTAAGTCGTATTTAAAAAGGAAAATTTGTAGTAGACAAATTGAGCAAACCGCTAGAATAAAGTAAATTGCTTACTAAGTAAGGCGTTTGGTAAATAATAAAACTTATTTGGAGCCGAGTGTATTGGCATCTTTACCAATATTGCAGACTGTAATGGAGAAAGAGAGCTGGATACATTCTTTGCCACATAACGAGAAGATACAAATGGCTGTACTTACAGACGCTAACAATTTTAGCAATTTCGAAAACATTATGATGGATATTGAAATGGACGGTATGCTTTGAAAATTGAAAGTTATATGAATAAAAATTGAATAAATATTTATATTTCTATTGGAAATGAAATTATTTTTCCGGATTTAAATCGCGTATATTTGTTTTTTCAAACAAACCGACGTTTCGGGCCCTTTACAGGTCCCATGAAAATATCGGCAACAACGGGAGATATCGGGGAGCCCATCGCTATACCGTCAATTTGTAGGTAGAATTCATTATTCCACAATAGATAGCCTGATGTTAGGCAGTGTTCTAATAATTCTGCATATTCAATGGACATATTATGTTCCCTTAGCTTTCTACGTACAATTTCAATGCAGTCTTTTACTGGTAGGTTGGTAAACAGCGACTGAACATCAAAACTGACCATGGTGTCATCATCAGTTAACCGTAGATCTTTGATTCCACTGATGAAATAGTATGAATCCTTCACATGTGTAGAAGTGTTCCCTCTCAATGGTGACAGTACCTTTGCTATGTGTTGAGCCAGTTTGTAGGTTGGTGTGTCATTCTGGCTAACTATGGGACGGAGTGGGGTGTCAGCCTTATGTATTTTTGATAACCCATACAGTTTTGGAGGTTTTACGCAGGGTACAAACTCACTTACATCAAGTTTCAGCGTTGGTTGAAGACTGTACCACCTCAGTCAACCGTGACCATGGGACCTGTAAAGGGCCCGAAACGTCGGTTTGTTTGAAAAAACAAATAGACGCGATTTAAATCCGGAAAATTGCGTTTTATGGCCAGTCGTAATGGTTTCACATTAAAGACGCCACTCCATTATCCAATATAACACACGCTACTTTAAAAAAGTCATCAAGAAAGTTTTATTGTTGCAGTAATAATACTGAAGACGTACGATTCCTTATCGTCTTTTGAAAAAATGCTTCTGAAATGTGGCTCAGTGTTGGGCGAGATTTTCTCTCGCAAAATGCTCCTTCATTTGTTGCAGAGTGATAGTCAGATTAAAATCGCTAAAGGTACACACAAAGTACAACTTTTTTAATAATATTTCTCGGCAATTGGCAGCATTTCGGCTGTCTTTGGACTTCTATCAGTTTGTTGTGCATACCGGACGCACTAAATCGACTTGAAAGTACAGTATACATCCACGTAGCGAGGTAGTATTTTTGTAAGACCTTTATTTAAGAGTAAATACCTAGAACATTTGATCTAGCAAACAATTTTTTTCCGCCTTTCCTCCGGTGACTCACCCTTTGTGCGTTTTGCAGCTGTAGCTACGCTCTTTGAAATACGAGTGCTAGAATGTGAAGGCGGAGACTTTACCCGAGATACGTCTATGATTCTAATTCACCCCGCACCTATTGTTATACCAGCGATAAATCCTCCACATTGCTCTTGTTTGGGAACGAGAATACCACGTAAGAGACATTGCACATTCATAGACGAAGTACTGAACTACTTTGTTTACTACATTTTACAGATATTTAATATTAAATTTTTACACTTAGCAAGCTGTCAAGAACTTCCTGCATACGCCTTCTGTGGATATATGAAGTTTCGACATACTCTATTCAGAAAGACTACTTACGAAATTTTAACAGAAAATCAAAAGGTGAGATAATCCACGTCTTATAACATTATAGATTTTTAGACATGCTCCATCGCGGCACAGACATATCTGTCTACAAATCATATCAATATTTTTATTTCACAAAAATTTTCTACCCGTATCATATAACCTAAAGTTGTGGAAATGTACCGATTTCCAATACTTCTATTTTTCACAAGCATGGTACTCTCAAATGCACGAGGCATTTTTCACAAGCATGGTACTCTCAAATGCACGAGACTGTTGGAACTCTCACGCACGTAACGCATTAAGGAGGCAGTTTTCTTGTACGTTATCACACTGTAGTGGTTGGTGTACGCGCCTAATGCGCTGCAAAAGCATGGCAGTCCTAAAAACACCCTACAATCACTAATTGTACACGAAGGACCTATTTTTAAGTGTAATTTATCCACTGATAGCACCCGTAGAGGTTTGTTGACATTCCCATAACCGCAATACTGCGAGACAACTTATTATAATAGCAAGAAAGAAATAAAAAAACGTCTATTCAGCTTAAGAAAATTGGAACAAAACCGATAAAACAAATTAATGATTACATTATACCTATAAGCTGAAACGGATCCAACTCAGCATATATGTTACAGCTCGCCTGCTGTAACGCTGGTTTTTAGTTGGAACCGCTTTTACAAGATGAGATGGCAAGTTAGTACTAGTGTGGCAAACACTAAAATTATAAAATGTAACTTAAATATTAAGTAAACAAGTAGAAAAATTACTAATAGGAACTATTACATGACTTGAATGTATATAAAATACTGCACTTGTTAGGAATCATTACCAAGAATTGAATGTATGAAATACTGCTCTCGTGAGACATTAACAAAGAAGAACTAGAACTAGAAAAGGCTGCCACTACTGAAGCAAGCAATTCCATTAAAGTTTTTATTAAAGTTTATTTTTCTTAAAGAAATAAAATAAACAATTTAACTGAAAAGAAATCAAAATAAACCAAAATTGTTACCTAGCCGCTCAATTGGAGCTCTAGATAGTGCTGTTTTATTTTAATTTTAAAAGATTGAATGGATAATATATGGCCAATGCCCTGCGCTGCGTCACGGAAGTCTGAGAGCTTTAAGTAGGTCGATCGCATTCCTGGGGGTACGTGTGCACGCTTGCATTTTGCCCCAAAGGATATAAAACGAGTATAACCGTATCGAAAGCCTTCGATAAATTCAAAAGTAGAGTAAACTGGCGTTTGTGCTTTGGTGTAAGTAGTAGAATATTTTTTTTATATTACAAAGTGACGGGACGAACAAGTCGAGTGCCTGGTGGTAAGCGACACGCCTATCCATAACATTTGCAGTGCCATTCAGAGCTTTAAATCGCAATGATCTTATGGACGCCACTGCGCCCGTCACCCTGAGAAAGAAGTTAACAAATCACATGTGCCTGTAATTTCACCAGCACCCTTACCCTTCTAAGCCGGAACCTAGTAATGCTCACGTTACTGCTTGGCGGCAGAAATAGGTAAGGTGGCAGTACTTCCCTGGACGAACTCTTTCACAAGGAGCTCTACTGTTACTAATATGGCATGTGGAAGGCACAAAATGGCACTTTCCCTTGACAGATTGGGTTTAAAGTCATTTACTTTTTTTTCCCAGGATTTTTTGCTTTAATAATACGCCAATGAGCAGCTGCTACTGTTGCCAACGATATTGGCCTGTAATTGGATTTATCGGAAGCATCCCCCTTTGAACTGTTATTTTTTTGACATACCACATTCTCAGCACACAAGTGAAACTCAAGTCGAGTCATTTCATTATCTTTGTTGTTTTAAGTACTAAGCATATGGTTCCACTCACAGATATGTTCCACTCTATCGACAGCTTCAACTCCATTTCTTCACGATTAAATGTTATCTCTATAGCTTTTTGTACCAACCTTTATATGTAGTGGCGTTTCATGTACGTGTAAATGTTAAAAATTTATCGAGTAAAGCGAGTAATATACGAAATCCACATTTTAGAACTGGTGTGTTGTGAACTGTGAAAGAGACCTCAAAGTAAATAGGTACAGACAAAAGACCTATGAAATTGTGGAGACAAAGTGCCGACTCTGTACTTACGGCACACATATCTCTGTTCCTCCCATACACCTCGTGGGTATATAGCCCAGGTAGTTGACAGAGTAATGAGAAAATGGATAGTTGGTCTAGTACGAAACCATGGTTAGAAAGAAGTTCTGCGAAATCATTATTGACATAGCGTCGTCTTTTCTTTCCACAGCGAGAACTTCATGAAAGAGCTGTCCAGTTTTTAGAGCGTTATACACGTCGTTGTATTTCTTGCGGCGGAGGATGTTTCGTTAAACTCTTTGGTGTTGTAATTGACGACGTAAGTTCTTCACATATAGTGGCGTCATTAATTTTATGGTTCACATGATTTTTTTTACACTAGATTTCTATTCTTGCTAATATTACGAGGGCACTATTTGGGGTAAAAGGGACGTTAACTAGTTCAAATTTAATTCATGAAGGCACAGTTGATAACATTAAATGATTATAAAATATGTTATATGAATGTTAAAAAAACGTTTATTGCTTCCCACAAGCACACACAAGCATATTCAATAATTAAAAGAAAAAACAGACACAAAACAGAAATTAAAATAGACTATGTGTTAACACACGTGACAAAAAAGCGCAGCCGGCCCGCCTCCCGCACTTCGCCTCGCCTCGGAGCTGTCATTTTTTTTCTCACTCTGCGAGAATTAGCGCATCAGACGCATTGTTTTCAATATTCTTCTTTTTTGTATTCATTTCTAAGTACATTCAGCATACTAAAAACGAACAGAAGATCTTTCTTTCACACCCTGCATTCCTGCGTAAAGTGGTCACATCGAACCGAATAAATTTAGGGACACGCACGCAGCAGCGCCAGCGCACGCCATTTTGTACAGGAAAGGAAATCAGTGAGTTCGTTCCAATCTACCCGTTTCCATCCCAAATCCCACACATTTTTACATTCACGCAGAGTCAAATTGAGTTAAAATTTCATTCGTTAAGTTGTATTAACTTGCAACTCGTAGCGTAATAAATCTCAAGTGTGTTGTGTTTGCACAACCACATTTTGTATGTTTATTGAAATCGCCATTTAATTCGTTGCAATCCCGTAATCGATATACCTATTGGTACATCTGTGTTCGCACATTATGGATGCTGTGGTTCATTGAAGTCTTCATATACTTCATCACAGCACCCAATACGAAAAATTCTGTTAATGAACTATACCTAATCTTGTTTTTTAGAACAATCCATTGTTTGAGGCATTCGCAGCTTTAGCAGTAAGCATTTATGTAAATTTTCTGGCTGATATGCTGTACGTTTACTCATTTATTCACGGTTGATGATCGCTTGCTATCAAGCTTTGGGCGGCGCTTTTCCGGTTAATTTCCCGGCCCGTTGCGCTTGTGCTGGTCCAGCACAGGTCGTCTGACGCTCAAATCAGCTGGCGTTTAAACAGAAACTAACGCTCGGCGGTTTTTTTTTCTCTGCACGCATATGCACCCAAGATTAGTATAATTCATTTCTACATTACTAATTTATCATTGCATTTGGATTGTTCCAATTTTTTCAAGTTAATTAGCATGCACCATTTATCTTTCACTTCTCAATACAAAGTTTAAATAAGATAAGTATTTGTTAGATTTAATATTTACTTAATTAAAATATAAAATGATTACTCCTCTAAAAGAACTAATAAGAAAACGTGGAACCTACAAGGCAAAGTTAACACAATTACATTCATACTTAAAAGGCATCTCATCATGTGACACGCTTAGTAGTGCTCAAAGAACAGAGATTAGTCTTCGATTTAGACATGAGTGCCGATAATAGATCAACCGGCGGCGGCGCGCCGACAAAAAAGTATCGGCGGCTGCGGCGTTTCGGCGGCGCGAGCGCGACCCTAAAACGAATTTGTATATCGGTGTTTGTTTTTGTGAAATAAAATAACGTATTTCTATAGTAATCAAATTTTTATCAGTTCGATCAGGCGCTCCGATCGTACGTACGCGGACGCTTCCATATTGTGTATGCGTAATGAAAATGGCGACGCCAGAAATTGACAAATTAATTTTTTAAACAAAACATCTTTAAATATAAAGTCACTAACTAACTTTTATCGCCTATCTATGACACCTCTGCTGAGGTCGGACGGCACGCTGGCCTACATTGCAGAAGACAAGGCAACTTTCTTTTTGCCTCACTCTTTGCAAGGAGTTCGAGTCTGGATCTCATCTTACCTCAGGCTGGGTGCACTATGGCGCCAATTCGCATACGCCAAAAAGAGGTACTTAGAATTCTGCGGAATCTAGACGTGAATAAAGCTAGCGGGCCAGGTGGAATTCCAGCACTAGTAATAATAATAAATGTTTATTTCAGTAATACAATTAACTTTACATTAACAGTGGATGGTACCTCCTATTAAGCTTATCAAGCCTGTGTCAGAAGGCACCGCTCTTCCATAGCTATAAATACATATTTAACATTTTTAACTTATACTTAATGTAGTGTTTAATTTTTACAGTTCCAAACATCGACAAAAACAAAACAAACAATTTTTTTTTTTAACAATTTTCAATTTTCTTAACTTCTAATTTTAAATTTAATATGAATCTTAAAACGTATGTGTGTGCATTTGTATATGAAAAATTATGTGTGTGTGCGTGCGTGCGTGCGTGCGTGCGTGCGTGCGTGCGTGTGTGTGTGTGTGTGTGTGTGTGTGTGTGTGTGTCTGTCTGTGTGAGTGTGAGTGTGTGTATGTATGTATGTATGTGCGAGTGTGTGTATGTATGTATGTGTGAGTGAGTGTGAGTGTGTGTATGTATGTATGTGTGTGTGGGGGGGGGTGTCTGTGTGTATGTGTGTTAACCTGTTGCCATAGATTAGGAAAGTAGTGTTTTTAAAGCAAATGTTCTAATAGATCTTCGGTTTCCTCATACGATTTCGACTGTAGCCATTTTGATGTAACTTTTTTGCAGTCTCTATAACTTTTGGCGTATATTTCTAATTCCTTATTAATTAAATTGTACAAATGGGCCGATCGTTTGCTGAATTGTCTGTTTGCAAATGTTGTATTTACTTTTGGTACTTGTGCCACAATGTCTTTCCTTCTCCTCTTCGAAATATTTAGATCATATTTTAGAGACCTATGTTGTCTGAGTACAGTTTGAGTGATGTAGAGTTTCCTTACAGTGGCTAAATTTGATAGTTGATACAAACTGCTAGTGGCAAATCGTCTTTTTTTAAAATATATTATTTTAAGCAAATTGCGTTGCGCACGTTCCAACTCGAGAAAACGAGTTTTAGCAGCTCCACCCCATACAGGAATACAATAAATCAATACAGATTGAACCAAACTCACGTATATTTCCTTAAGTATATCCCTAGACGACGAGCCTCGCGGACCAGCGATTGGTCCTGGCACTACATATCTTAGTGTTTTAAAAATCCAATTAAGTTTTCTTACTCTTTTAATGACATGTTCGAGGTGTGGATACCACGAGAGTCGCTGGTCCACAAGAACACCCAAATATTTTGATTGTGCAACTTTAATCATAGAAGGGCATGTGCAGTTACTTGTGTTACCTGTGGTTTTGCAATTATGAATCTTTAAGTGAAAATTATTTTTAGGCTGAGTATCATTATTTATACTAAAACAGATGTAGTTTGTTTTATTAGTATTTAAGGTAAGAGAATTGTTAATTAACCATCTGTTTACACGCTCCAGTCCCCGTTCTGCACTAGACTTCAGAGTATTCCAAGAATTATCAGTGAATACAATGGCTGTATCATCAGCATACGAGAAAATATTAGCGCTCTTGATCTGTAAATCACATAGGTCATTTATATATATAAGAAAAAGCGTAGGACCAAGAACGCTACCTTGGGGTACGCCATACAAAACCTCTTCGCACCTACTGATGTGGTTATCTAATTTCACTGTTTGCTTCCTATTTGTCAAGTAATCAATGAATATACAAAGTGGAGTACCTCTTATACCTATCTTTTCTAATTTGTGTACCAGTATGGAGAGATAGACAGTGTCAAATGCTTTTTTTAAGTCCAAAAATACTGACAAACATTTCTTACGTTTATCGAGTTCTTAGGTTTTCGCGATTGTTACACATAGGAAATGAAACTATTTTTCCGGATTTAAATCGCGTATATTTGTTTTTTCAAACAAACCCGTTGTTTGAAAAAACAAATATACGCGATTTAAATCCGGAAAAATAGTTTCATTTCCTATTTCTTACGTTTGTCAAGTTTTTCTGTAACCAGAGAACTCAAGGAGATTACTGCATCCTCCGCAGATCTTCCACGCTGAAAACCAAATTGGTTTACAGACAATATATTGTTTTTATTTAAATAGTCTAGTAATCTTTTATTGAGTAATTTTTCCAGTATTTTAGATATCACTGATAATACAGATATAGGCCTGTAATTATTGACATCGTCTCTGTCTCCACTCTTATACACAGGAGTTATAGTTGACAACTTAAGAAGTGTCGGAAAAATTCCTTTATCAAAACAGAGGTTCGCAGCATAGGTAATAATGGGAACAACTACGGAATTTGCAGATTTTAAAAATGCTGTAGGGATATTGTCCCAGCCTGGCGCACTACTCGATTTTAGGTTCCTAATTATACTGTTTACTTCATGTTCGTCAGTATGCAGGAGAACGAAGGAGTTGATTTGTGTTGGTAAGTTTTTTAGATAAGTTTTCAGTTCATCATTCGGTGTTTGTATTTGCTGAGCAAGTTGCTTGCCAATATTAACAAAAAACTTATTTACATAATCCGCAGAGGCAGAGGGAGTCAATTTCAAATTCGTCAGTTCTGTGTTGGTGGATTTATTGTTACTAGTATACGTAATATTTTTAATATTTTTCCATAATAGTTTATTATTTTTGACTGAATTTTTTAGTATTTCTTTTTCGTAGTTTCTTTTTATCTTCTTTATAAGATTATTACAGTAATTTCTGTATCTATTGTAGATTCGTTTATTATCTTCATCAAATGGATTACTACGGCATTTTAGTTGAAGTTTATTTCGGGTTCTAATACAACGCAGGACACCCGGTGTGATCCATGGTTTTATTATGCGGTGATTACTTGGTATATTGGTGATTTTCGTGTTATTATTTAATGTTTCTGACAAAGCGTGAATCAAGTCATTTATGACCTTATTTGGGTCATCACAATAGAAAGGACTTGCTAGAATTTTCATTTTTAATTGTTTTAAAGCTTCTTCAAAGTTTATAGTTGTTTTAGTTTTTTTCACAGTGTAACTATTTTTAATTTTAGAAAGTGATAAAAGCGTTGTATAATGGTC